CTGCCGAGCAGGTGGTCTGCCATGTCATCCGGCCGCCTGCCCGGTGGCTTCTTTATGGCTCACCCAGCAGCCTTCAGAAATCAGGTCCGCCTTCCTCTGAATGTTTAAACGAAGCAGCGCTCAGCCGTGGGTTGCCTCCCGTTCCGCTGATCACAGCGCTCCCATCCCGTGCGCTGACGGTGACTAAGGATGTCACTAACGTGGCGCTCCCCAAGGGCTGTGGTAGCTCAGAGAGCTTAACTGAACCTACAGCCGTCTCATGATGAGCCTGGGATGTAGTAGGTGGGAGGGCTGGGCAGAAGTCATTAAGAGAGGGGAGAAGGTTCCGACAGAATCCTCAGAGATTCTAACTTTTGAATAAATTAGGTGTTTTTCTCTAGGTTGGTATGAACATTAAGTGGCAACCTCAGAAGTAATAACATAATTTCATTTCCCTTTTCTAATTTGAAATCAGGGTTGAAAATGTTTTTAGAACATAAGACGTGTGTAGCAAGAGCTCTCTATGCAGCTGGTCTACCTCCGAGGGGCTGCCCGCGTGGTGGTACCCAAGCAGCTCCGCACAGCCGGTCCGCACCCACAGGAGAGAGGGTGCCTGCCGTGAGGCATGTGTCCTGCCACTGGTCCTTCCTTTGGGGAATGCCCGGCCTCCTGTTCGAAATGCAACTGTCTGTAAAGAGCTGACTGCCATCCTGTCATCAACATGGTTGCTACCATGGCATGACTTGGCAGATTGCTTTTCAGTGTTCTCTGGGAACGTGCGGGACACAGACGTGTACGTTCTATGGGGTGTGACACACCGAGGAATCCTGGTTTGCGGGAAGGGGAGTTGGAGCAGAGCCGGAAGCCATGGGGGAACTTAGGGACATGGGTGAGGGCACCACTGCCCCGTGCTGCGAAGAAGGCTGTTCAGGATCACAGGGGGTGGGATGAAGGGACCAGCCATCATCCCAATCCCCTGTGGCTTTATGCGCAGGACAAGGGGACGTATGGGAAAGGAGAGTGACAACACAGTCCCTCGACCACGTCCAAATGTCTGGTTCACATGCATGTCTCATTAATTTTTTTTCTGATTAGAAATTAGACAGCTCTCACTACAGAACATTGACAGAATACAGAGAAGCATCAGGAATAAATTCAGGGCACCTGGGTGGCTTAGTCGGTTCAGCATCTGACTCTTGATTTGAGCTCAGGTCATGATCTCAGGGTCCTTGAGCTCGAGCTCTGCGCTGGGCATGGGGCTTGCTTAAGATTTTCTCTCTCCCTCTGCCCTTCCATGCCCTCTAAAAATAAATAAATCAAAACCCCATGAAAGATGGTTACCCAGTGGAGATCAGCAGCATGGAAATGACCTTTCAGAACAGCAGGCTGGGCAGCTGGAGGGTCCAGGTGGCCCTTCTGTCCTCTGATACCCTCCGCCAGCCTTCCTTCCTGACCTCTTTCTCTCCACTTCGTGGCTGGGTGTCCAAGGCGTCGCCTCTCCTGCTCCTCCACATTCAAGGACAGAAGGAAAGTGACTGTCCTGGGCTCTATCCTGCGAGTGCTGCTCACTTCTGTCCCCGGGCAGTGTCACCCAGCCCACCCACTTAGGGGAGCCCTGATGCACCACTCAGTGTAATTGTTACAGTGGCCTTTTTTTTTTTTAATTTTTTAAAAAGATTTTATTTATTTATTTGACAGAGAGAGACACAGCAAGAGAGGGAACACAAGCAGGGGGAGTGGGAGAGGGAGAAGCAGGCTTCCCGCTGAGCAGGGAGCCCAATGCGGGGCTCGATCCCAGGACCCTGGGACCATGACCTGAGCCGAAGGCAGACGCTTAACGACGGAGCCACCCAGGCGCCCCACGATGGCCATTTTAAAATCCCAAAAGCTACCTTGCTTTCAAAAAACGCCCCGTAAATTCTTAGTTTTAAGATAGTTTTGTAAGAGTAAGGCACAACAGAAATGACAAAAAATGTTCTAATTCTACTTTTTAAAGGTATTTAATCAAAATAACTTCATCTTCTAGATGGTCCTTTAGATCCTGTGGAATACCCGATGCCACATTTTCGTGAGCATCCCATTTTAATCGTGGACTGATGGAGATTTTTAAAAAGAGTTTATCTGGGAAATGCCAGGGCAGCTTATATATATCCCAGAAGCACTCCTGCCAAAAGAGTTGTTTACTTACTAAAAGTGTTGTGCGTCGTGGATTAAGACCCTTGCGTGGTGAAGGAATGTGAAGTAGGTCTCTTGCTTTATTGTCCTGCCTGGTTTCTTGCTGCCGATTTCTCAAAATGAAGCTATCAGTCTCAGTATAATGCCAATCCTACCTTGACTCCAAAAAAGCTCCGCTATAAATACTTCTGAAGTTCTAGTAGGATCTTCTCTTTCCTTTCTTTCTTTTTGCACTTGAAATAGATGTTATGCCTTCCTATGAAAAGAAATGTTTTTAGTCTTCAAGCATCGCATGTAGTGATAGTCCTCAGGTGTTGCTCCAGAGAGTACCTTGCTGTGAGAGGGAGCGATCTGCTTCACTACACAGTATGTAAAATATACCAAGCAAAATCCTCTTGGGGTGCACTCGATTCTGCAGTGGGAAAAGGACAGCAAATATCTTTAGGTTCATTATCAGAGAAACTGAATCATATCTGTCCATCAGATGAGCTTAGGGAATGAGGGTCAAAGGTGTGGACTTGACAAGACTTTTACTAATGTCCCCAGCTATTCCTTTGTATTTGCCCTTTGCCCTCTCTGGGGCGGCAGGGGGTGGGGGTGCTCCTATGCAGGGTCCCTCTTCTCCTCACTGCTGGAAGTCTTCCCATGGAGGAGGAGACTGCAGGGAGCTTTCTGCACCCACCCAGAGGGTGAGGGTCAGTGTAGGGCTCCCAGTGTGTAAGGGACCAGGAGTACTGGCCAGACGCCCTGGGCAGCCTCGGCGTCCATTGTCTGGACAACCTAGGAGGGCTCTGGGGGCCTGCAGCTGGTGCAGGCAGGCCCTGGGAGGAGCTCCAGGCTGGCTGACAGCAACAAGACACCTTCTAGAAACTGCTCTAGAAACCACCCCCATAAGGGAAGGCACTCCAGTCACCCTGCCTTGGTCAAGGCCGCCTGATCAGGACCTGGCCTAGTGAGGTGAGTTGGGCTGGCCGTAGCAGAAGCTGGCCCATCTGCCGACGCCCTGAAGGACCACCCTGGAGGCGGCTACATCCAGGTTCTAGAAGCTTCAGTGTGAGCCATGGGGCTTTTGCTGTAAGCGGTATCTTCACGTTTCCTTTTCTGGAATGTGACTCCCGGCATCTCAGGAAGCAAGCGAGGTCTTAACTCTCATACTGGCAATGGAGCAAGACGCCCCCCATCTCAACCCTGGGTGGTTCCTTGGGCCTCTGAACGCCGGAAGCACTGGGGGCTGCAGAGTCCACTCACGTTCTCATTAGCAGTCTTGCTGATGATGATGACGATGATAAAGTGCACAGAAATTACTGTGGCAACCACTGTTCAGTACACAGTTCTGGGGCATTACGCTCACGTGGATTTGCAGCCATCGCCAGAACCTTTTCTTTACCCCAAACTGAAATCCTCGCTGTCCCGTTCTATGAGTGATTTCTCCTGTTCTACTGCGTATTGCCAAATAGACGGTAAATCTCTTGAGAACAGGAGAGAGTGTTCACAGGTCCCAGCACGTGTCCCATTCGCAATGGGAGCTCCAGTGAATACATGATGACTGTAGTGTGTGTCTTTGTAGAAGTCTGCTTAGCTCTCAGCCTTTCAGCCTCCTCAGCCACAGAGTCCCTGTGGGTTAAACTTGACCACAACTCCCAGGCTGTAGCTGATTGGGTCAGCACTGGGCCCCTGACCAAAAAGGACCAGTCACGGTCACTCTTTAAGGCCTCCACTTGGGACCGTCTAACTTATTTCAGAATGTGATGGGAAATGTAACATTGGACTGAAAAGATGTGGAGTCCTTACACTTGCAGATAGATGGGACTCTGAGATGGGATGAAAGAGAAAGACTGTGCGTGTGAGAGTGTGTGTGTGAGAATGTGTTTGAGAGTCTGTTAGCAAACGTGTATGAAATGTGTGAGTGTGTGTAAAAGAGAATGCATGCATGTGAGGGTGTGAGAATGTGTGTGAGAACTGTGTGTGAAACGGAATTGTGAGTGTGAGTGAGAGTGTATAAGAGAATGTATGTGTGAGATAGTGTGTATCTGGGAGCATGTGTGAGTGGAAGTATGAAAATATTAGAGAATGCATGAATGAAAGGGTGTGCGTGTGAGATAATGTGAGAGAATATCTGAAACAGAATCATGAGTTGAATGTGAGAGAATGTGTGAAAATAGGGGTGTGAGATGTGAGATACTATCTGTGTGTGTGAGAGTATGAGTGTATGTGGTAACGTGTGAAATATGAGTGTGTGTGCAAGAATGTGCATGAGAATGTAGGAGAGAATTGTGAGAGGATGTATGTGTGAAAGAGTATGTGAGTATAAGTGTGAGGATGTGTGAGAGTGTGTGTGATTATGGAAGACAGTGTGAAAGTGAAAATCTGTGAGAGTGTGTATTTGAAAGAATGCGTTTGTTAGAGTGCATGTGAAAGTGCAAGAATGCGTATCAGATCATGAGAGAGTGTGAGGGCGTGGCTGTGATGTGTGGGAGCAAATGTGTGTGAGAGTTGTGTGAGAGAACGTATTGGAGCGTGTGTGAAAATACGTGAGAGGGTAAGAGCATGCATGTGAAGTTGTGTGTGAGAATGTCAGTGTTGAGAGTGTTGGGATTGTGAGTGTATGTACGAGAACGGGCTATGAGTGTGTGAGTGAGTGGTCGTGAGTTTGTGTTTGTGAGATTGTGAGGGAGAACACGTGAGTGAATAAGTGTAAGAAAGTGAGTGTGAGAATGTGTGAGTGTGTATATGAGAGTGAGTTTGTATGTCAGCAAAGTGTGGCAATTAACCATTTCTTCTGATATTTATCCCACTATTTCTTAATGTCGTCCCTTTTCACAATTATTTTTTGTTTTTCCCATGATTTTGACCCTTTATTCTTCCATTTTGCCAGAGCACATCCCTGGGAGACTTGCAGACTTGCAGACCCCAGGAGACTGGGGTGTTCAAACGTCTTTGCTCTGTCATGCCCAAACAAGAGTTCATTTAGAAATCCAGTACTAGATGTGATTGTTTCCCCTTAGAATCTGGACATTGGTCCATTTTTGGCTTTGAGAAGTCCAATGCCATTTTGATTTCTGAAATTTTAAAAGTGGCCTGTGTTTTTTCCTTTCTCTTTCCTCTGGGGGAATCCTGGGATTCTGCCTCTGTCAGCAGTGTCCTTAAATTGCATGATCAGGACTTGATGGAAGTCCGTTTGTCAGGTAGATACTTGGTGGGTTCTTTCAATTGTGGAACTTCATGTCCTTCAATTTGGGGCAATTTCCTGGGGTTATCTTTTTTAAAGATTGTCTTTATTTGAGAGATAGAAGTAGTAAGAGAGCACGAGTGGGGGCAGAGGCAGAGGGAGAAGCAGACTCCCCACTGAGCAGGGAGCCCCACATGGGGCTTGATCCCAGGACCCTGAGATCATGACCTGAGCCGAAGGCAGACACTTAACCAACTGAGCCACCCAGGTGTCTCTCCTGGGGTTTTTTGTTATTTCCTCCTCCGTGGTGTTTTGGTTTTTGTTTTTTGTTTTTTTTTTAACTTTATCAGCAGTTGGACACCTTGAATTTATCTTCTAATTTTATCTTCTATTTTTTTTTTATGTCTGTTTTCTTACTCTACTTTCTAGGAGATTTCTTCAGTTATATCTTTAATATTTCTATAGAGTTGCTTTGTTTCTGTTTTCATATTTTGATTTCAAAGAACTCTTTTTTATTCTTCCATGTCCTTTTATATAGCATCTCGCTCATGTGCGTGGATAAAATATATTCTCCTACCTTTGCAAGGACATTAAAGATAGAAATATTTTTTGAAGTTTTCTTTTGCTCCCTGAACTGTACTGTCTTTTCTCGAGTGGTTTGCTCTGTTTTGTCTCTGTCTTCCATGCTGGAGTATTTCCCCAAATGTGTGGCAGTGTTTAGTTGTTTAGTCGCCCTTGTTAACATGCGTATGTCCCGAGGGGGAGTGAGTTAAAGCTGGTTGGGAGTTCCGTGGTTGATTGGTGGTTCTCAGTCCAGAGCAGCAATCAGCAAGCCTTTTCTGTAAAGGAGAAGACAGCACCTATTTTAGGCTTTGGGGCCATAGAGTCTCTGTTGCAACCACTCCACCCTCACTCTGTCGTTGTGTGTTGTAATGCAAGAGAAGCCTCAGACAACAGGAAAATGAATGTGTATGGCTGTGTTCCAATAAAACTTCATTTACAAAAGTGAGCAGTGGGCAGGTTTGCCAGCTCCCGGCCTGGCACCTCCCCTTGCCCTCAGCTGTCCCTAGAGTCCTTGAGACCAGAGCCTCCCTGAACCGGTTTGTCCAGTCTTCTGTGTGGGTGTGGGTGGGTTCGGTTGAGTAATTGCCAGTACACACAAGCTGAGGGAGCAGAACTGGGAGTTCCTGTAAATACCACACCTGTTTGCAGGTTTCCCCTTCAACCCTGTTTCCAGAGGTAGACGGTGCCTCCAGATCCATCCGCCCACTTCTGGGCAACTCCCGGGAAGCTAAGGTAGCGAAAGCTTCCTCCAGTCACTGAGTTATGTGCCACTCATCCGTCCACTTTCCATCTCCCCAAATTGTATTAACAATTTGTCACATCTGTTTTCTTCTTTCTTATGAGTTCATAACTGTTCTCCCCCTTATGGTCATTTTGGTATGACTTCAGGAGGATGCCAAAATGTCATGTACTTCCAGTCTGCCATGTTTCAAGAACATCCTCCGGGAAGTCTTGACATGTTGACAAAGGTCATGGGGAGAATGAGGTCAGGGGAAGAAACATCTGAAAAGAAAACAAAATGGGAAAGAAGAGAGGATGGAGGGAAGTCAAACATTTGAGTTTGGGGTTTTTTTCCCCACTAAACACAGAGCAGTGAAATGTGAAAGCCTCTTTTACTTGAGTCTTCCTTCTCTCAACGTTAAAAAAAAAAAAAAAAACAGGAAGAAATAAAATAATAAATAGCACCAAGAGGTACATTTTGCCTTAGAGACTGGAGCTGAAACACAGAGAGGTTTTTCCAACTCCCTTTCTCCATGTTTGCATGCAGAGGAAGCCAAAAAAACGTACTCAACATGAAATATGACTTTCACAGACCATTACTTCTGACAATAGTATTCTTTCTGACAATATTGCAGCCTTATTTTCCTTCCCCAGGAAATTTTAAGGCAGGAGTCACACTGAGATCAGATGTGAAGTGATTATTGCTTCAGGATGACATAGGTGTTAATCACCGCGGTCATCGGCCAAGGTTTACTGTTAGCGCAGCCGTGCAGAGGGGGCGTAGTTCTCCTATCTGAGAGGCTCCCGAATTGGGATGTAATGTCATTGTGGCTAATTTTATGCAGATGAAATGTCATGGGGCTCTTTCAGAATTAAATAATCGAGTCTTGAAGTGCTGTTCTTTAGGGAAAGGAGAGAAAATAGTAATGTTCCCAAAACAAAAGCAACACATCACACCACCTCCGCCTGCTGATTTCACCCATCACATGTACACGCAGGCGTGCACACACATACAAGCACCCACACGCAGGTGCGCACACATGCACATGCACACAGGCATGCATGCACACGTGCACACATGTGCATACATACACATACATGTACATGCACACGGGCATGCATGCACATGCACGCACATACACACATACATGTACGCACACATGCCTACACATGCACACCGGCATGCATGCATGCATACCCCCAAACTTGCTGTTTTTCCCTCGTACAGAGTTCTTTTACCTGATTTATAGTTCAACTAACTTAGAATTTAATGCATCTGAATGTCGACTATGGAGGAATGTCAGGGGCAGGTGCCCTGGACCCAGTGAATTTGACGATGTGGGGTGACTGAGGGTGAGCAAGGGGAGCTGAGTGGGAAGGTCCGCCACTGCGTGGTCCCTCCTGCGGTAGCACGCTATCTCCATTCCTTGGACGTGAGCTAGGGAGTTCCTCTTGACCTCGAGGTTTTTAAGGCGGGGATAAGCTCATTTAATCCCAAATCTAGATCCTAACACACTTCCTGTTTATTAGATGAGCTCACTGCAAATGGAAGGTTAGCGACTTGCTCAAGGTCACCCCAGAAAATGATGGAGCCAGCACCCAAGCCCAGGCGCAGTGGGTTGGGAGTCCGGTCATCTCCGATGGGGCTGTGGGTGCAGGTGTCATGGGTCAGAGGCAGGGGACCGAGAAGTGTCCGCCTCCCCCCAGAGCTGAGAGTGAAGGCGGCAGGGGGAGGGAGAGCATCCAGTGGTGCTGAGCTGACACCTCCTAGGACCTGAAGACCTAAGTCGCGGGGCCTGGCCTCAGGCTCTTCGTCTGAGCCCCTAAGCAGCTGCATGTTCTTGGAAAGCCACCTGACCTCCGGGTCTGCGGCCTCGTCTGCAACGTGAGGAGGGTGAGCCACATAATCTCTCAGGCTCCTTCTGTCTCTCAAATTCTGCAATTCAGATGCTCGTTGTCTACAGACTTGGTTGTGATCTGTTGTTCATTGAAATTAATTTCTATAAAAAAGAACAAGCTTCTGTTGTAAGAAAGAAAACCCTGTCAGAGGCCAAGCTATGTAAGTTCCAGGGACGTTTCCACTCAGCTTTCAGGAATATACTTAGTATCGTGTCTGATTTCAGCAGCTCACCAAGCTGTTGGTCTCCTTCCTTCAGCCCTGCGCTGAGTCCATCAGCGGGTCCTATAAACCCTCCAGCCGTGAGCCCTGAATATCCGGAAGATGCCTGCCTCTGTGCGCCCCCACGACCATGGCTCCGAGCCCAAGCAGCTCTGGTCCTCTCAGCTCTGTTTAACCTTGCTTGGGAGAGAAGATGGAATGTGTAAATACATCTGGAACTGGACAGATGCTGAAGCACATGGTGCCAGCCACATCCAAGTTTTGTAGGGGCAGCAGACCGTCGGACACTCCTGAAGCGCCTGTAGTGAGTCGGAAAGGTCAGCGTGAGTCCTAATAAATGTGTTCAAGGGGAGGGACTGATGCGATGAATCTTGGGTCACGTTCAGAGCCTCAGTCTTTCACTGTGTTCTGGGGCGAGCACGCGGTCAGTGTGTCCTGGCCTGACTGTTCTGCGTTTGTCTTACCTTTGGTGGGCTGGATTGGGACGGTTCTGGACAAGTGCTGCCCCTCGCTGTCTCCCATGTACACCCCTGCCCTTGTCCTGCACCCCACACTGCAGCGCCCCTCCCAGCGCTCCAGCACTGGGGTGTCTGCCACAGAGACATCCGCCCGTTCAGGGCTGGATCAGCATAACTGCAGAAAACCATTTTCTTTCCTCTTTTGCTCAGTGACTTGGGAGAAATAAGAGGAAAGAGCAAACTGGAGAGTGTATTTGACACAAAGGCCCACGGAGGACCGCGGTGTGGCGTGCAGCCCTGCCCACAGGCTTCCACCCAGAGGACAGTTAGAGGGGAGCTTCGTGTGTTTATTGTATCAGTTTGGAATCTCCCCCCTAGTTATAAACATACTTCGTTTTCCCCTGAAAAATAACACAGGATTTAACCAAATATCTCTTTGGTAGGACGTTATAAAGTGATTTAGGAAGAAGGGAAAATTTCTGGCTTTCTCTTTTAAAAAGGGTCATCTGCCTGCCCCCAAGGAGGGCAAGATATTTCCACCTGCACTTCTAAACTCCCCTTTCTCTCGTGTTCTGTTGTGCCGCATCTGCCCACCCTTTCCCTCGGTGGCCTGGGCCTCCCGCTGATTATTAACAGAGACTGCAGGTTAATAGAGTGGGAAAAGACACCTTTGAGGCGTCTTTATATCTGGACAAAGTGTGACTTCAGGAAGGTGAGAGACTCATCGATGTGGTCACTGCGCACAAATTGTGTTTTTTCTGGATGTAACACTGGCACGTTGTCTTCAAACTCCAAGAGGAAATTGCTTGTGATATGTAGATGGAAATGGAGAACAGGCTTCTACAGGACATCATGAGAGCTCGTGACCAATTTGAATCTGTACACAATAGAGCTCATTCACACTTCAGGGCGATTGAAATGTCAAATAATTCTTAAAGCATAATGTGTGGCTTGTTAGTCCCTGCAGAAGTCTTCATGCTCTTTGGTGGAGAAGACAGACTTGGAGCAGGGTGGAGGGAGAAGGGGACACTCGTCCAGAGGCCCTGCCTCCCGCGCGTGCCCTGCGGCACCCAGAGCGAGCACTCGCGAGCGCATTTCTGGAGCCGTGGTGAATAAGGGAAGGGGGCCCAGCATCCTCACAGGTTAGAAATGTTCTACCAAGTTAACCGTCAGAGACAAGGAAGTTCGAATGAATTGCTAATTAATCACTTAGCCATGGGCGCCTGGGTGGCTCAGTTGGTTAAGCGACTGCCTTCGGCTCAGGTCATGATCCTGGAGTCCCGGGATCGAGTCCGGCATCGGGCTCCCTGCTCGGCGGGGAGCCTGCTTCTGCCTCTGACCCTCCCCCCTCTCATGTGCTCTCTCTCTCTCATTCTCTCTCTCTCAGATAAATAAATAAAATCTTAAAAAAAAAAAATCACTTAGCCACGTTCCTAGTGATTAATATATAAAACACTCTTACAGACCAATAAGAAAAAGGCAACTCAACGACTCCACTCCAAAAGAAAAATGGTCAAAGATCTGAACAACTCTTCACAAAAGAAAGAGTTGACAAGGCCTGCGAACAAATGGAAAATGCCTAGATTCAAAAGCTGTAAAGAAACGTAAAACAAAAATACGGTAATACATGCCTTTGTGGGCTCCAGAGATATAGGCTTTCCCCTAAGTGATAATGCCTTGTGACAGGAAGGTCTGGGCGGCGGGCCGCCGTGGGATGCTGGCGGGACAGGCGCGGGCGCCGCTGTCTCAAGTGGGTTTGTGCTCCAGGCCCAGACGCCCTCAGCTCGAGCCGCATCGCATCGTGCTCTCCCGGTTTATCCCCAGGAGGAGCTGGGGGTGAGCACAGGGCTGCAGCTCCGTCACCAACTTCCCACAAGATGAAGACCTAGAAAGAACCCAAGTATTAGCGGCGTCTGGGGGGCTCAGTCGGTGAAGCGTCTGCCTTTGGCTTGGGTCATGATCCCGGGGTCCGGGATCGAGTCCCGCATCGGGCTCCCTGCTCAGTGAGGAGTCTGTTTCTCCTCTGCCCCTCCCCCTGCTTGTGCTTGCTCGCTCTCTCAAAAATAAAGAAAATCTTAAAAAAAAAAAAAAAAAAGTAGAAGCCAAGTATTAGATGACAGGCAGGCCGCTAAGATGGCTGGCTGTTCTTGCTTCCCCCTTCCTCCCACGGTGATAGGACTTGGTCATGTTTAAATTTATGTTTGCTTACTGGATTCATGTGCACCAAGTTGAAATCATGGGAACCCTGGGTTCATGAAAAATTGTCGAGGTCAGCCCATGCGTGGGCATTTTGGTGATCTTGTGTCTCTGTAACCACAGGATCAGTGCCCGTGAGCCCCCCAGTCAGCACGAAAGCTAGAAGCTTGTCGATAAGTCCTCCTGGCTGAGGGGACTCCGGCTTATTCTCTCCCTGGTGTTCCTCTTTACATCGTCTCAGATTATATACGTGTGTGTATTCCAGGAAGTAGCGTTCTCATTTTTACTTTGCAAGCACGGTAGCATGCTGAATGTCACCTCTGAAACCTATTCTACATTCCGCTGTAATTGCTCCATTTGACCACTTCTGCTTTGTGATTATATCATAATATGTTAATTCACGTTCCTGTGGATGAGTGTGTGCAATTTCCAGGTTTTCTCTCCTGAGAACAGAGTCGCTGTTCAAGAACGCGTGCGACAGTCCCGAATACGTCCGCTGGTGCTCGTTTGCCGGCTTTCTCTGTGGTGTTCTTCTTCTGGGGCTGTCGTAATGGGGTGGTGTAAAACAGCAGGACCCGTTCTCTCAGCGTCTGGAGGGCAGGAGCCTGAGGTCAAGGCAGGGCTGCGCTCTGGGGGAGGGATCCTCCCTTGCCTCGCTCAGCTTCTGGTGGTTCCTGGTCCTCGATGATCCCAGTTATATTACATGTTTGAGATGACAAAATTTTAGAGATGGAAAACAGATTAGTGGTTGTCAGGGTTAGAGATGAAGGTAGGCAAGTTAGGTGGGTTATAGGAGGGATTGTCAATGTTCACAGCAGCAGTGTCCACAATAGCCAAACCGTGGAAAGAGCCCAGATGTCCATCGACAGACAAATGGATAAAGAAGATGTGGTTCATATCTACAATGGAATATTATGCAGCCACCAGAAAGGATGAAATCTTGCCATTTGCAACGACATGGATGGAACTAGAGGGTATTACGCTAAGTGAAACAAGTCAGTTAGAGAAAGACAATCATTATATGATCTCACTGATATGCGGAATTTAAGAAACAAAACAGATGAACATAGGGGAAGGGAAAAAACAGAGAGACGGAGACAAACCATAAGAGACTCTTAACTATGGAGAACAAAGGGAGGGTTGCTGGAGGGTGGTGGGTGGGGGATGCGCATTAAGGAGGGCACTTGTGATGAGCACTGGGTGTTGTATGTAAGTGATGAATCACTAAAATCTACACCTGAAACCAAATTTACCATATATGTTAACTAACTAGAACTTCAATAAAAAACAGAAATTAAAAAAGGGTGTAATGGAACTCTTGCGTGTCCTGACTGCGGTTGGTGGACACAAGGTGCAAGGTGATAAAATTGCATAGAACTTAGCACCCCGCACCCCCCCCCCGCCCGAATGTAAGTAACATGGCACCTCGCTTATTCTGGCGTGATAGTCTTATCATTTTGCAAAGTGTTAGCGCCTAGGATTAAAAAGTGAATTTATTTACCCCGATGTTTGTTAGTATCTTTTTGGAAGAACTGTTTGCCCCTCCAGCAGGGGAGTGCTGCACAGACTTGCTCAGTAACCCGCAGCCGGAACAAATACTCGGTACTCGGCATGTGGAGCGCCTGCTCTTGTGACTCTTATTTAGGTCTCGTATTCTTGACCACTTGCTTGTGCTTCTCTGCCCACAGCTCTTTAGTATGTGTGGCATTTCTCCCTAGATTACCAGTGACGTGTCTGTCACATTTAACTGCCCAGGACAACTGCCCGTGGAGATGAGGACCCCTCCAGGGACCCCCAAGTTCAATAAGATGCCATCGAGCCAAATACGCCCACCAGACTTGGCGACAATCCGCCTAACCACTGTTTTCCAAAGCAGCAGTAAACAGACCTAAACTTCACCTTATTCACACAAATAGTTATTTCTGATGTGCCTCCACATGACGTCAGCAAAGTGCCAGGTGGAAGTGCGGGGGTCTTCAGGGGTTCCTGGTCCCCGGCCACTGGTGACTCAGGCACACGCGGGCTTCTAGGATGGCCTAGAACCAGGATGTGTGCCCGGAGGACGCAGCTTGCTGAGACGGAGCAGGAACACGCTCACCGTCGGCCTCCTATGTTGCAGGCAGCGTGAGGGTTTCCCACGGATGATCAAATGCGCTCTCTCGGTTGCATGAGCCCAGCTATTAGCCTTGCATTTCCAGCTGAAGAAATAAAGTCTTAGAGTGGCCATGCCACTTGCCCACAATCGCACGGAGCTGGTAAGCGGCTGAGCCCGCGTGCACGTATAAACTAGGTGTCCGGAACGCTGGGCCGGTGTTGGCAGCCTCCTCCTGCTTTCTGAACACGGAGCAGCCCAGCAGCCCCTGAATCATCGTGACCCTCCACCCCAGCAGCGTCCCCGGCGGGCTTGTCTCCTCCCTCCACAGTCAGTACTGTTAGGCGGCTTATCCTGTGCCTTCTCCTCTTTGGTGAGATTGCTGGCTACAGGGAAGTAACGTTGCCCTCGAAGAGCGAGAAGCCTGGACGCCGGGCCAATGGCTGCTGGATGCCCGGGGCCCCGTTTTGTTGTTACTGGGGGACTCTATTTTTATTTCTGGGTTTGACGTCCCGTTTCAGATGACCACGGTCAACAGAGGGAGAACCATGCTGGATCTATGTCAATGCACAGTTCATGCCAAGCTTTACTTGGCTAAAATCCAGCCTGAAACGTAAGGGTAGAAATGGCCCCTTGGACTTTCTTTCCGTCAGCCAGGCAGATGGCTCTGGGATGCATTTCATAATGCTCCTCAGGCGGTCCCCCATCGGGGGCATGGTGGCCCCAACGGGGGAGTATATTGCACTGGGCTTGCTTCCCCAGAGTCACACCCCCAGATACAGCACCCTCACAGAAGCCTCTGTTGCAGGCTCTGCCTTTGGCTGGACCAGCTAAGACCCCCCTGCCCCGAACGCGCTCATTATATAGAAGATGGGGCAGTGAGAGAAGGAATTCTTTTGTGCTTCATTGGCGCAAGAAAACAAATTCTGCCATTATCCTTTCGGGGTCTTATTTGAAATTTCAACAACCGTGAGATATCCCGTGTCTCACCTAGCTTTTTGACTTCCTCCTTTTGCTTCTAGAGACATGGTCAGCGGCTGACTGGGTGAGGTCACTGGGAGAGCTGAAGAGCATAAGGCCCTGGAGACGGAGGCTGCGGGCGAGGACAGGGCTCCGGGACTCAGCACGGCAGCCAGGATGGCCCCGCCGTATGGCCGCGTGGAACTCAGTGCTTCCAAAGTGGGCCTGGCGGGCGTAACAATGGCTGGTCTCTCCTGGAGGCCGCTGCACTGCCGTAAATACCCCAGGTAGGCCATGGACAATTCCTAACAACCTCTGAGGGAGGGATGAAGATCCTCCCTGTTCCCCACACAAGAGACAAGGCAAGGGCGAGTCTTCAGCCCCTTGGCCTTCACAGTGCCCAGGGCTGGTGGGTCCGGCTGAGGCTGGGCTTTCGGATGAAGCTTGGACTTTTGATGGTAACTGTCCCAGAATGATGGGAACTGTCTCGTTTTAGACTGAAATTTCCATGGGAGGTTTTCCACTGGGTTTTATGTGTGTTCGCTTCTGTTGCTAAATGTGGGGCTCCGCACTACCTGGTGTTCCTCAGCAGTTGTCACAACCGTCTCAGACGGGTCCGAGAGCTCCTCCCTCAGCTGTGCGGTTTGGTTCAGATCTCAGCTGAGGGTAAAGTGAAGGCTTCGGCTTCCTCCCTCTTGTGGCTGTACGTCAGACCCGCCCTGCTACTTCCACACCCTCCCCTACGGAGCAGCTTCCTGTGTCTTCAAGGTAAGCGTCCCAAATCATCAAACCATAAAAGCGTCAGAGCTAGACAGAACATGAGCCGTCACTCACTTTAGATGAATAAACTGAGCCTCAGAGAAGTTAAGAAACTTAACACACAACAAGTGAACGATGGCTCTCCACAGGAGTTCCGGCCTCCTGTCAGGACGGTTCTCTCTGCGCCGTCCCCATTCAGAGTATCTCCCGGAGAGGTCTGGTACGCTGCCAAAAGTTACACGGTGTTCCCTCCACAAATTATAACTCACCTTTGGTATAGGCAGCGTGTCTAAAATGACGAGACCCACCTCTGAGAGCAGTAATTACAGTAAGGTATTGTCATGGAGTAGATGTTTGTGTCCAGGGTGATGGTATTAGGAGCCGGGACCTTTGGGGGTGATTAGGTCGTGAAGGTGGAGCCCTCAAGAATGAGATCAGCGCCTCCAAAAAGAGGCCCCTTTCACCAGGTGAGGACACACAGTGAGAGACGGCCGTCCGCAGCTCAGAGGAGCCGCAACCCGGAACCTGACCATGCGGGCACCCTGATCTCGGACCTGCAGCCTCCAGATGGAGAGAAATCAGTTTCTCTTGTGTATAAGCCACCCAGGCTGTGGTACTTTGTACAGCAGCCTGACTAGACTAAAACAGCTATCCAGAAATTTTTGAAATAAATATAATTTAAATCTGCATGTGAGTTTCCAAGGCATATAGTGTTGGACGCATGTTGGTGTGTGTGAAGCCTCCAGCACCGTGGGTCCTAATAGTCCACCAGTTTTAAAATAGCGATGTCTAAGCAAGGCTGCAGCCTGTGAGAAGTGAGTTTCCCTGATGCTCTTACAGTTATTTGCTTTAATTAGATGAACACGGAAATGCATCTGGCTGTTACTGCTCTTTCACCTTAATCAGAAGATGTAAGTAATATTTCCCAAAATGTTGCACACATACCACAGATGGTGTAGGTTATTTTAAGTGGCAGCCCAACAAATATGTTTCATTTAAACATCTGTGCACTGATTTCATTTGTATTAAAATATATTGCAAAGCACATATTTGATAAAGCACTGGTACCCAAAATATACAAAGTTAAAACTCAACAACAAGCAAACAGCCCAATTACAAAAACGGTCAAAGACCGGAACAAATATGTCACCAAAGAAGACACACAGATGGGAAACAAGCTGATGAGAAGATGCTCTATCTCATCTGTCAGTGGGGAGACGCAAAGTAGAAACAATGCTCAGACACCACTGTGCTCCATCAGAAAGGCCAGGCCTGTGGGGTTGTCCGGTCGTTCGCACACTGAGGACACTGGGCACCGCGCCGGGGGACAGCGGGGCACGGGAACGCGCACTCGCTGCCCAAGACAGCTCGCTGGGGGTTTTTACAAAAGAGAAACCCATTCACCTTACGGTCCAGCAGCCCCGCTCCTTGGTATTTATCCGCAGGTTTGAAGATGATGTCCACGGAAGCACTGGCACACAGATGTTCATAGCAGGTTTGTTCATGATTGCTCAAACCTGGAAGTGCCCAAGATGTCCTTCACAGGTGATGGATAAATAGACCGGGGTCCTTGCAGACCGTGGGATAAGGAACGTGAAGAGCGAGTCCCTCAGTGAAAGAAGCCAGCCTGAGATGGCCACGAACCGTGTGATCCCAGCGCTGGGACGTCCTGGGAGAGGCAGGGCTATGGAGACGGTGAGGATCAGTCCCTGCCCGGGCTCAGGAGTGGGGGAAGGGAGGGGGTGAATAGGTGGCGCCCAGAGAAATTCGGGGGCGATGAAACTATTCTCTGTGCTGTAACGGTGGATACCTGACATGCACTTGTCAAAACCCATGGAGTCAGCCTCAGTGCAAGGCATGCAATTCGTATTAGTTAATACGAATGTATCGATATGGGTTCAGTCTTCGTAACAGATGTACCAACCAAGATGCCATTCCATGAACGGGAGAGACTGTACCAGATGCTCAATGCTCCTGTAAAGCCAAAGCTGTAAAAAGAATCTATTCCTTGAAAACCCCCTCCGAGCTGTTGCTCCGTAAGTAGAGGTTACCTGTTGTTATTATAAGCAGCCAGTGTGTGCCTGGCAAGGTTGCTGCGCTGGAGGTCAGCCTAATAAAGGGCTCCTGTCCGCCTTGCGGCTGAGGACGTGCTGGCGGCGAGCTGCCACCAGGTGGCGCGCCAGCCCCTCTCCTCCTTCCTTCCTCCTCCCTCCGTCTCTCTTCCTCCCTCCCCCACCCTGCCTTCCTCCTTCCTCCCTCCCTTCCTCCCTCCCCCACCCTGCTTTCTTCACTTCCTCTCTCCCTTCCTCCCTCCTCCACCCTGCCTTCCTCCTTCCCTCCCTCTCTCTCTTCCTCCCTCTCCCCCATTTCTTCTTCATTTTCTCAATTCTGTTCCTGTGTTTCCCTTTTCCCATTTCTGTGTGTGAGCTGTCATCCCTGGATCTAATAACATGAAGGTGGAGCCCAGTTCTGTTCTTTTGGATGAGCATTGCCCCTGGGGGATGGGGGGGAGCAGGGCATGCAGGAGGGGGCGCTGACTGACATTAGCCCAGAGCAGCCCTTCTGCCCCTTGTGGGGTTCTGGCACTGGGGAGAGCCATGGTGACTGCACAGCGTGCCAGGTGACCCTGTGAGGCCGCTCTGGCTGGAGCACCCACCCACACACAAAGGGAAGGGACCGCAGTCCCTTCGGAGCTCTTAAATGCCCCTGGGCCCCCATCCCCACCTGCAGCCCCTGAGCCTCACCCCACTGTCCAGGTGGTTTTCCCCGTCACTCCCGGGATGGATTCCCATCCACACCCTGGCCCCTGGCTGTGGGATGAACTGAGTGTGCCCCTGGCTGTGGGATGAACTGAGTGTGTCCAGACTTTCCAGCACGCTCCTCCTGAGACCTGGTTTTGCTCTTGGCTTCCCAGCCCGGCCTGGGGTGCCTTCACACCCAGACCACCTCCCCATTCCCCATGCGGATCCTGAGTCTGAAGGGCCTTGCTGCCTCCTACAAATCCCCCTGTCTGAACAAAGGGATTGAAATCCCAAAATCTAAGGGGGAAAACAGACGCTCAGATAACCAACTCGAGCTATTACCAAAACCATGGCCAGGAGGAATTTGGCTGCCTGATGGAGGACGCCTCATCAGACAGGGTCAGGGAGAAAGCTGGATCTGACCGTGCATGGGAGGCCGTGAGCATCATTACTATGGGGGACACAGGGGGCAGGGGGACACTCAGGCTTGGGAAGCCGGGAAGGGCTCTTGAGATGAATGAGAAAGGATCATGAATGTCATGATGGAAAAACCTGAAATCTTGGGTTGGGGAAAAGGCTGGTACATGAAATTACAATCAAATTAAAACTTGGAGTTCTTGATAAAATACTAGTATCTATCTCATAAAATACCTGTATTTATCAATAAAATATTAGTATTCAGAATATACAAAGAATTATAATAGATCAATGAAAACACACAAAACCAAATTTTTAAAATAGGCAAAAAACAAAACAAAACAAGAGGCAAATCACGGAAGAGGAAAAGCAAATGGGAGGTTCACCCTCACTAGAAATTAAGAAAACTCAAAACCTCACAGGTTAGCAAAAATGGAGAAGCCTGGTAGTACTCAGTCGGGACGAGGACAGAGAGCACCAGAATTTTCAGACACTGCTGGTGAGAATGTAAATTCTTGCAATCATGTTGGAAAATCATGTTAAACCCCAGCAACTCCACTCCTACAGCCCAGAATATTTATATCCACAGGGAGACATGTATAAGGATGTTCAGAGCAATAATATTTGTAGTAGCAAAGAAAAAAAATCGAAACTAGCCTAAATTTCATCAACAGAAGAGATTAAGAAAATTGCACTATAGTCATACAATGGAACTGTCCGCAGCCGCGAAAATGAAGACAATATGCATTTCATCACAATATGGAACGAGAAAACAGATGCTTAAGTATATAGAGCTTGCCACCACTTACAGAAGGTGGGCAGAACAGTACCACATACAGCTTCGAGATGCAGAGGGAGTGAGCACATGAAGATTAGCTCCGTGTCTGGGGTGACTGCCGGGAGGGGAAGCACATGCAGGGCTGCTCTCCTAGCCCCGAGGCTGAGGGTGCATGGCTTGACCCCTGGGCGTGTCCCCTGAAGTTGTGCAAAACAGTGGCCATGAGGACACAGGCCTCCAACTGTGACGTCCAGGCAGAATCAGTGATGAGTGTGCAGGTGTTAGTAACAGTATTTATACACTTCTGTGCGTTTAGCATTACATAATGTATCTTAAAACAGATTTTAAAATCCAGAATGCAGGAATTGGCAGCACCTCGGAACAGTTTAGCTTAGGAGCGAAAAGGTCAGGTTTGAATTTTGGAAAGCTCACTCTCCAGGCAGGATGGGGGATGAAACTGAGAGGCGTGTTTGAAGCCGGGACTAATGGGCCTACCTTCGAGTTGGGAGGATGCAGGCGAAGACGAGGCCCTGGCAGCCGGGCTGGGGAAGAAGAGATGGAGTTGAGGTTAGCAGAAAATGATGACGAGCTGCAAGGAATGTCCCAGACATCACTGTCAAGACAGCAGGGATGACGCAGGAAAGCCAGCAAGCCCTGTTCTAGGAGCCAAGGTCCTTAACCGAGATGCGAACTTGGTGGGAGGAAGGCCGCTCCAGGTTGGGTAAATGGCTTATAAGTGATGCTGGCACGTGGCTGGGGGAAGACCAGGCAGGTGCTGGAGGGGCCCCACTCACCGGGAAGGGGACGGGGCACAGCCCGAGCAGCTTGAGAAGTGGAGAGTGTCACAGAGGGTTGCTGGCTGAGACAGGGGACGGACTGTGCGGGGAGCAACCCAGGGCCCGGTGCAGCTGTGGGAGGCGGCCGTAAGCTGGGTAAGCTGAGCAAGTGACTGGGCTCACAGGGAGCAGGAGGGGGAGGGCAGGGCAGCGGATAGAGAGAGCAGAGCTGTGGGGGCCCGGCCTGGGTGTTCTAAGGAGTTCTGGAGGACCAGAGAAGTGAAGACCAGCTGAGAGTGGTTTCAGAAGATCCCATTAAGTTCTGCAGTTGAGGTGAGAAGTAACCCGGGGAGCCGCACTCCAGGTGAGCGGTGGGTGGGCCCTGAGGCCCGACGGGGACCAGGAGAGGGACAGGAAGGACCAGTGGTGACAGGGCTTTGGAACCTGCCCTTTCCTCTATCACTTGGCCCCAGGGTAACCTCCCCAGGCAATGGGCTGGTTGTGTTTAGGATTCTAGAGAAATGGGGTAGGGTGTTGTCCCCTCTTTCAGTGTGGCTGCCCCTGGGCACGTGACTTCCCCAGAGAGGTTGCAGGCAGCACTGAGCTGCAGAAAGGAAGCTGGGGACTGCTAGTGAATTGTTGGCACATTTTTGTTTTTATTATAGCCAAGTGTGACTCTCACACCTGTGATCCACGGGCAAGCAGGGAGCCCTGGGAATGTGCATGTTCAAGGACCTTTACCCTTTATCCCAGCAGGCTCTTCCTTAAAAAAATAGTGTTTGACGTTTTATGGTTGAAGCATAGAGCAGTGATAGGATATTAAAGCTGGGTGGGGGGGCACCTGGGTGGCTCAGTCGTTGAGCGTCTGCCTTCGGCTCAGGTCATGATTCCGGGGTCCTGGGATCGAGCCCCACATCGGGCTCCCTGCTCAGCGGGGAGCCTGCTTCTCCCTCTCCCGCTCCCCCTGCTTGTGTTCCCTCTCTCGCTGTCTCTCTCTCTGTCAAATAAATAAACAAATAAAATCCTAAAAAAAAAAGCTGTGTGGGGACCTCAGAGAGCCGTTAGTTCAACTTTCTAATTTTACCATTTGAGACCTAGAAAGGTAGAAGTGACTGTCAGCAGCTGTGAGGATTCTATGGGAGAGAATGTGCTAGAAGAGTGCAAGCTTCACAGAGCCCCTGTCACACGCCGTGGGCCGTAGAACGTTGTTGTGAGCTGAGTGTGTAAAAAGATGGAGCTCGCGGTGCCTCTGCCCTGTCCCCCCTGGGCAGGTGAGGCTGGGGTTGTGTGAGGTTAATTCACTGGCAGAAAGGTTCAGTTGACATAAAGCCTCTCATTTTTAGGGAAGAAGTGAACAGATGCCCCCCAGTATGAGACAGAATTAAGAACACTTATCTGTGTTTTAGCGACTCGGGAGAGAAAATGATCAGCCCTGCTCTAGCACGGAACGAAACAGCCTCTCGTTTCCCCGAAGAGCGATTCGAAGGCGGCAGCCGAGGCTGAAGGCTGGAGAGCCTGCCACGGGGCAGCATTCCTATGGAGTTCCACAGATTGGCGGTCCTCTGTGTCAGGGGACACACGCACACCGATTGTACTTTGGGAATGATCGTTCATGTCGCGTGCCTACTGCGCACCGCTCTGGGACGTTTTCTGGAAACAGAAATTCAGGAGATTTGTTGAGTGCCGTCGAACAACCTAATCTCCACTTGGTTTCACTAACTGGGAAGGATGGCTGCCGATTTTGGAAAGAGTCTATGCGGCTGGGTCCAAGGGATAGATGCAGTTGCCCCATCCTGGGAGGCCTGTCACCTTTTCCCAGGAAGTGGTCGCTGGTGAGGATGCACACACACAGCGCTTCGTCTTTGACCTAACACAGCTCCCCAGCACCAGGAGGCACTAAGCAATAAAGGAAGAAGAACATTGCATAGTTGTGGGTCCATGATCGATGTGCCCTGTGAGAGGAGTGAGCCTCCTAGTGTAGGAAGTGGGAGTTGAAGTCGGAATAGGTATTTCTGCCTCAACCCTTGGTGCAGGTGAGTCAAGGACAAAATATGATCTAAGACGCCGAGGGGCACAGAGATGGAGCTGGTGTGGGTGCAGATCGCATGGACCGAGAGGTGTCTGGAGAACAGCTCTGCTATTTCTTTCCATGAACCTTGAGCAAGAGAGTTACTTCACCCCCTTCGGGCCTCAGCTTCCTCGTGTATAGAAAGGAATAACACTCCTTATCTACCTCAAATTGGATTCTAAGGATCAAGTGATAACACAGACAAGCATTTTATAGAAAGGGGATAAATAAGTATCACTCAGGAAAACTTCAAAATTTCAGAATGCCCCCAAATTGAATTTATTTATTTATGTATTTATTTAATTTATTTATTTGAGACAGAGAGAACGAGAGAGAGCACATGAGAGGGGGGAGGGTCAGAGGGAGAAGCAGGTTCCTTGCTGAGCAGGGAGCCCGATGCGGGACTCGATCCAGGGACTCCAGGATCATGACCTGAGCCGAAGGCAGTTGCTTAACCAACTGAGCCACCCAGGCGCCCCCAAAATTGAATTTAAATGAGTATTGTCCCTATTAGGATTATATGAAAATTTTACCCGAAATTTTGATGTTTTGCCTATTCTTTTTTTTAGCATTTCAGGACTGAATCTATTCATACATTTTTGGAGAGTGGACACTGTATCTCTGTAATAAGTAGTCTTTGGCATAAAGAACCTAAAATCTGCATTGTCTCTTCAACACCATTTTAACTTTCTGGTAGATGAACCCCTCGTGCCCCCCCCCCCCATTTCTCTGCTCATTACTTTGGCAGACACTTAAGTGAAAGAGCTTGTCTTTCATGTGTCCTTGAAGAGGGTGATGTGGTGCCTGGCGTGTAGTAAGCACCCAGCAGATGGTTAAGAAGGTAGACGACAGACACAAGGCAGACAGATAAAGCAATCTCTTCCATGATCCCACGGTGGAACTTGTCATCATTCACAGTTTTACAACCCTGGTGTTTTTGAGCCCCATCCCTGATGGCAAACTTCCTTTTCCCACTCCATCATGGCCACTGATCATATCCTGTGTCCTCATTAAGCCTCATTCTTCCTTATTATTCAAGACATTCACACATCATTTGCTTTCTTATTTGAATGTTTGAACATCATTCCTTATTTCCGTCAGCTGATTGTGCTTTCTGAAATCACGCTGTTAGGTGGGACATCGAGGCGCCCCCCCCAACCAGTCAGCTCTGCCAGTCCTTACACCCGCCCTTCCATGTGGACTGTGCCCATTTTCTTGGGCTCCGGTGTGCTTCTGAGAAAGTCACGTGTCGGGACCCATTGGTATCACTATGAATTCCAGCTTGGACTCAGCAATCATTAAATTCATCTATTTATTGTATCTTATCATTATAGTGCTGTTGTTTCAATTATCATGTTGTTTCCATTTTCTTTGGTGTCAAACCAAGTCAATTTATTTCTGAAACTACTCAAGGCAATTTCAGCGTCAGGTGGATTTCAGAGTTTAGTTCAACATGCAACCTGTGCATTTAAGGGACTCTGGAGTGAAGTTAAATTCATGCTCCCAGATCTTAGTTTCTCAAACTACGAGGTATATACTTTAATTTGCTCATCTTGTGTAGGAAAGAGGATACAGCTTCTGGAGACTTAGAGACCTACTTTCCAATCAGAACTCCAAGACTTACCATGTCCTCTTAGGCAAGTTATTTAACCTCTTTCACTAAACTTGTAAAATGGGAGTATAATGCACACTTCTAGTCCTGGGGTAACTAATAGAGATTAAACATGTAAATGTGCCTGGTGGCAAATGATTGATGCCCAGTGTTTTTGTTTTCTTCTTCATTACCCTTAGGCTTGAATCTATCTTGGAACCTGAGAAACAAAGAACAAAAACAAATTGGGGTGCCTAGGTGGCTCAGTCAGTTAAGCGTTCACCTCAGGCTCAGGTCATGATCCCAGGGTCCTGAGATCGAGTCCTGCATTGGACTCCCTGCTCCACGGGGAATCAGCTTCTCCCTCTGCCTCTGCTTCCCCTGCTTGTGCTCTCTCTCTCTCTCTCTCACATACAAACAAATAAATAAATGAATAAAATCTTAAAAAAAAAAAAAAAGAACAACAACAAATTGAAAAGCCCAAACATTCTAAGACTTGGCAAGTGTGCTAATGCTAAGCTCTTCCATCCAATTCAAGAGAAAGGAATATTTCACAGTTCAATCTAGGAGACTAGTATTAACCCAATACAGAGACCAGAAAAACACATTACAGGAATTTAAAAAAGAAAAAAAAAAAAAAAAGAACCACGGACTGATATCTCTCATGAACAAGATACAAAAATTCATAAGAAAATGTTAGCAAGTGCAATATTCATTCATGACAGAAACTCTCAGTCTACGACAGGAAGGGAATGTTCTCAATATGTTAAAGGGCAACTCGAGAAAACCTGTAGCTAATATCCTAATTAATAGTGACAGACTGAATAGTTGCTGTTACTTTGTCTACCCATTAGTACTAGAACTAGTATTAGAGGTTCAGGCCAGCACAGTAAAGCCAGAAAAAGGGGGGAAAAAACCCAGCTCTATATTGGAAAGGAAGTAAAACAGTTTATTCTCAGAAATCATAATCACTTATTTAAAAAACTCTTTTGGAGTCTACAAAAAAAACTACTGTAACTTTTAAGTTTAGCAAGGTTTCAGATTAAAAAAAAAAAGGATAAACAACCAATATAAAAAAATAGAGCTATCAATATGACAGTAGATAAGCAATATGTTTAACATGACACAAAAATACGAACTATGTAGGAAGGATATATTTGACAAAAGATGGACAAGACCTGAGCACTGGAAACTACAAAACACAGCTGAGAGGCATGAGAAGAGACTTGAGTAAACTGGAAAAGATACTGTGGTCATAGACTGGGTAACTCCATATGGTTAAGGTGTGAATTTCTTCCAAATCAATTTATGGATCCGAAGCAATTCTATTAAAAAATCTCAGCTGGCTTTTTAAATTTTTTTTTTTTTTTTGAAATTGACAAGCGGATTTTAAAATTCAGGAAATGTGTGTGGCATTGGAGATAAGAGAAACTCAGAAAAGTAATAGAACAGAATAGAGCCCAAGATAGGCCTGTACATATATGAGCAATTAAGTTTAAACAATGTTGACAAGGCATTTTAATGGAGAAATAATCATCTTTTTATCAAATTGTACTGGAGCAATTGGATATCATGTTGAGAAAATGAAACTCAACCCTTACATCATACCATATTTAGAATTAACCATAATGGAGAAAGACCAAAATGTTAGAGGTAAAACTTCCAAAGGAAAACACAGAAAATTTTAATGACTTTGGATTTGGCAAAGTTTCCTTGAAATGACACAAAAAGCATGGAACAATTGATAATGTGAACTTCGAAAAACCCCAAAACTCATGCCATTCGAAAGACAATATTATGGAAATGAAAAGGCAAGCCACCTACTAGGAGGAAATATTACAAAACATATACCTGACAAAAGCAATTGTATTTGGGGTACACAAATAACTCTACAACTCAATGAGATGACAAACAATCCAATTAAAAATGGGCAAAAGATCTGAACAGACACTACATCAAGGACGATCCATGGACAGCAAATAAGCAGATGAAAAGATGCTCCATTTCATTAGTTATTAGAGAAGGGCAAATAAAAACCACAACGAGATATCATTACACATCTACCGGAAGGACTAAAATTCAAAAGGCTAACCATACCAAGTGCTGGTGAGTGAAGCAACTGAAATGTCCTACGTTGCTGGTAGAAATGTAAGAGGGCACATCTACTTTGGAAAGTGGTTTAGCAGCTTCTAAAAAAGTGAAAGGAATAGCTGCCATTTGACCCTGCCACTCCACTCCTAGGTACTTACCCAGGAAAAACGGAAGCGTGTGTTGTGTCCATGCCAAGACTTGAGGCCAATGTTCATAGCTGTTTCGTCTATGATCAGGGGCTGTGCAAGGTGAGGCACGTGGAATATACGTACAAACCTGGGGGTGAGCACAAGCTGCCTTGTTCTATTACCTAGTCTGGGTCCTGTTTATAAGAGTCAAAAACTGAAAACAACCCAAATGTCCATCAACAGGTGGATGGATAGAGAAACGGTGGTACACCCATAAAATGAAATACTATTCAGCGCTCTCTTCGGCAGCACGTATGATAAAATCGGAGTGATACAGAGAAAATTAACATGGGCTCCGTGCAAGCATGACACTCAAATTGGTGAAGCATTCCATACTTTTATAAAATATGTAAGTCCTGAAAAGGTAATGTGACCATAGTTAACAACACTGTATTGTATATTTGAAAGTTGCTAAGAGAGTAGATCTTAAAAGTTCTCACCACAAGGAAAAAAACTTGTAACTCTGTGTGGTGATCGATGTTAACTAGATTGATCAGTATCATCTTCTAATTTATACAATTATATATAATTGTGCTACACACCTGAAAAGAATGTTATATGTAAATTGTATCTCAGTAAAAAAAAGAAAATAACTACTTAGCAATAAATAGGAATGAACTACTGATTACTACAGCAACATGGGTAAATCTCAAAATAATTATTCAGAGTGAAAGAAGTTAGGCAAAAAGAATACATATCATATGGCTCCATTTATATAAAGTTCTGGAAAATGCAATCTAATCTACAGTGACAAAAAGATCAGCAGTTACCTGGGAATTGGGGATCAGGGAGAGGGGGTGAGTGCACAGGGAAACAAGGGAGTGTTTGGGTGATAGGACATGTTCACACCTTGATTGTATTGATGGCTTCACATTTTATACATGTGTCAAAATTTATCACACTTCACCCTTTAATATGTGCAGTTTGTTGTACATCAATTATATTTCAACAAAGCTGTCAAATAAATAAATAAAATCTTGGAAAATAAAACAAAACAAAACATGAGTCCTTATTGGATCCTGATTGGGGAAACAAGAAACTTTAGAGACAATTGGGAATATTTTAATATAGACTAGATATTAAATATATTAGATTATTGATATTTTTCTTAGATATAATAATGATATCATGGATATGTAAGGAAAAGCATGTATTCTTAAGAGATCTATGCTGAGGTAGTTAGGGGGTACAGTGTTGTGATGTCTGCAGCTTATTTCAAATAGCTTGGCAAAAACAAAGTAACAAGAAACAAAAACTGCACCACAGAAAAACCAAAGACAATAGAAAAATAAACAGATAAAGCAAATATGGCAAAAATATTAAGACTGTAGAATCTAAGTGTTCAGTATACAGGAGTTCATTAAACTATTTTTTCAACTATTTTTATGTTTCATAATTTTGTCATTAAAAAACTGGAAAAGGGGGCACCTGGGTGGCTCAGTCGGTTGGGCATCTGCCTTTGGCTCCGGTCATGATCTCGGGGTCCTGGGGTCAAGCCCCGTGTTGGGCTCCCTGCTCAGTGGGGAGCCTGCTTCTCCCTCTGCTCTGCCACTCCCCCCTGCTTGTGCTCTCTCTCTTCTCTCAAATAAAACTTAAAAATAAATAAATAAAATAAATAAAAAGCGGGCACCTGGGTGGCTCAGTTGGTTAGGCGACTGCTTTCGGCTCAGGTAATGATCCTGGAGTCCCTGGATCGAGTCCCGCATCGGGCTCCCTGCTTGGCAGGGAGTCCGCTTCACCCTCTGACCCTCCCCCCTCTCATGTGGTTTCTCTCTCTCTCTCAAATAAATAAATAAAATCTTTAAAAAAATAAAATAAATAAATAAATAAATAAATAAAAAGCTGGAAAAGCTTACCAAGTAGATTTGAAAAAGAACCAAATTATAAAAGATAAATAAAACATAATTGAATTATCAAACTCAAAGGATAGGTTTAACTGAAGTCACAGCAGAAGATAAAATTGGTGAATTGCAAAATAAATCTTAAAAATATTGTCCAAGGGGCGCCTGGGTGGCTCAGTCGTTGGGTGTCTGCCTTCGGCTCAGGTCATGATCCCAGGGTTCTGGGATCAAGCCCCGCATCGGGCTCCCTGCTTGGAGGGAGGTCTGCTTCTCCATCTCCCACTCCCCCTGCTTGTGTTCCCTCTCTCGCTGTCTCTCTCTCTGTCAATAAATAAATAAAATCTTTTAAAAAAAAATTATCCAAGATGCAGTACAGAGAAAAAGAGAAAATATGAAAGAAAAGTTAAGAAAAATAGAGAATAAAATGAGCAGGCCTATCATAAATCTGGCTGGAATTCCAAGAGAGAGAAAGAATGGGGCTGAGGCCACCTTTGTAGATATAATCCCTGAGAATTCCTACTGAATCCCTGAGCATATAAATGAAAAGAATCCACACCTAGGCACTCCGTGATGAATCTGCAAGGCACCAATGGCTGAGAGAAGGTCATAGAAGCTTCCAGTGAGGAAAAATGACCTGCAAAAGAAAGAAGACCGAGAACCTACTTGTCATCACTTACAACAGAAGCTAAGCTAAAAGTGGAATATTTTCAGTGGATTGAAAGAAAATAAGTGTTAACCTAGAATTATTTAACTAGTATCTTTAAGAATGAGGGCAAAATAAAGGCATTTTCAGGTAAACAAAAAATAATAGAATGCTTGCTGCTAGTCATGTTCACTCAGTGAAATTGTAAAGTGCGTATATGAGACAAAGAGATAGGAGGTGAAGTTTGGAGACATAAGAAGGAGTACAGAGCACAAACAAAATCGGAATATAAGTATATTGGAATATGTGAGTATATCTACACAAATTAGACTAAATAAAACAATAATATCTTCTGCAGTTTAAAGTAGAATTAAAACACCAAACAATAGCCTATAAATTAGGAGCAGGGTAAAGATGTTAACCTTCCACTTTCATAAGTATCATCTTGAAGTTTCTAGGTTACCCTTAATGGAATGCGTATATAACTTTCAAAGTAGCAAAAGGGAAAAAGGAGAATGAGGGGGGAAAAAAGTCAGTCCAAAAAAAGGAAAGAAAGTGGAGAAAAGTAAACGTAGCTGACATGGGACAAATTGAAAGCAAAAAATAATAAATATTTTTCATCCTGTATTAAAAAAAAAAAAATCAACACCAGAAGGCAAGTGCAGGAATAATCCTAGCAGCATGTTCGTAAAAAAACAAACAAAAAAAAACAACTCCACATAACCCGGAAGTCTGTCAACAAGGGATTGAATGAATAAACTGTGGCATAGTCTTACAATGAAATGCTATACAACAGTAAAAATAAACGAACTACAGCAATATGCATCAGCATCAGTGAATCTCACAAACACAATATGAAACAAAGATGCAAGCCACAGAAGAATGCTGAAAAACTTGGAGAAATTTGAAAAGCTGGACTAACTGACCAATACTTCATTTACTAAAGACATCTAAAAAGACTATACAACCATAAAGGCAAGGGGATGACTGTCTTAGTGTCAGGAGACCAGATACCTCTAGGAAGAGGATGCCTTGAGGGAGAAGCACATATGGGGTCTTCCAGGGTGTTGGCCCTGTTCTCTAGCTGCGCCTTGTGTGGTGGTTCTGGGGAGCCTATGTCTTATGTCCCCTTTTCATGTCTGTTTTAGTAATCAATTTAAAAATAAGATGCAAGAAAAGAGCAGCCCTCCGTGGAACCCTGAGACATCCAGGAGGATGAGTCTAGAAATGAATCTACATACAACCTACCAGGACTGAATCATGAAGACAGAAAATTTGAACAGACCAATGAGTAAGGAGATTAAAACCGTAATAAAAAAATCTCCAACCAAAGAAAAGCCCAGTAGTAGATGGTTTCGCCAGTGAATTCTACCAAACATTAAAGAATAACATGAATCCTTCTCAAACTCTTCCAAACAACTGAGGAGTGGGAATACTCTCAAACTCATTTTATGAGGCCAGGAGTACCCTGATACCAAAGCCAGGTAAGGATAGGAAAAGAAACAGAAAACAAACCAAAACTATAGGCCAATATCCCTGATGAATATATGCAAACATTTCTGGTAAAATACTAGCAAACTGAAGGCAACAGCACATTAAAAGAATTGTACACCATGATCAAGTATAATTTATCCTAGGAAAGCAATGCAAATTAATGTGACACACCACATTAACAGAATAAAAGATACATGTTCATCTCAACAGATGTAGAAAAAGTATTTGATAGAATTCAACATCCTTTCATGATAAAAGCTCTCAACAAATTGGGTACATAAAGGATGTATCTTAACATAATAAAGGCCATCTATGACCAACCCACAGCTAACATACTCAGTGGTGAGGTGTTCAGAGCTTTCCAAGATCAGGAATAAGACAAGGGTGTCCACTCTGACCACTCCTATTCAACGTTGCAGTGGAAGTCCTAGCCAGAGCAATTAGGCAAGAAAAATAAATAAAAGGCATCCAAATCGTAAGGGAAGAAGTAAAATTGTCTCTGTTTACAGATGATATGTGTGCGTATGGATGGTAAAAAAAGAAACAATCCTATGAAACTACATAGGGATACAGCTGTTTTCTATGGATAAGTGAGAATCTTGTAGCTAATCACGTCTACTTCTTGGGATAAAAAACCTGGAGTTGAATTTCCTATTCACCTTTTTTAACTACATAGGACTTTGCTAATTTAGGTACTTATTCCCTTTGATTTCTACTTTCTTCCTTTATCCTGATTTCCTCATCTATGTTTTACTGATATGAATTGCTTCAAATCATTTTCAGAATAGGGTACATTCGTACATATTATCATCCAAATTGACTTACAAATGGCCCAAGATTCTTAAGATCTGCCTCCAGTCTTTTGTCTCAGCCTTATACCTATGCTAGCCCTGATACACATGTTAATACTGTCGTATTTCGTCTAAACTTATGTGTATTTCTGTTTTGATGGAACCGTGTACATGGGATGAACAGCTGATCAGACTTGGTTTGCACCTTGGACTTGCTTACAGGCTGTGTACCCTTAATCAAATTACTCGGCCCCTCTGAACCTCAGTACCATCATCTGTAAAATGGCACCCTGCAGGGTTATGCGGAACACTAAAATGTGAGTAGTTAAAAAGATGTTAATAATTAACATTTGCCGGGCGCCTGGGTGGCTCAGTTGGTTGGGCGACTGCCTTCGGCTCAGGTCACGATCCCGGGGTCCCGGGATCGAGCCCCGCATCGGGCTCCCTGCTCGGCGGGGAGTCTGCTTCTCCCTCTCCCACTCCCCCCTCTCGTGCTCACTCTCTCTCTCTCTCAAATAAATAAATGAATAAAATCTTAAAAAAAAAAAAATTAACATTTGCCTTTGGTTGGCTAGCTGATGTTAGAGGTTAAATAGCCTGAGCTCGTTTCTTTTCAAATAGGATTAACTGCCCAGCTCTTTCAGGGTTTGAATGAATGTAGTAAACAAAAGCGAACACAGAGCACCTGACAAGATACTCTACCCCCCCTTTTCCCCCGTTGCCTCTATCTGGGAAGCCCTCTCTTACCATCCGGTAGGATGCAAGCGTTCACTAGGTTTCGCTTAAGAGGGCCTTTCCTATTTATTTTTCCAGCCGTACTTTACGTTGTCCTCAAATCTCTCCATCGACTTTCAAATCCCTGTGACGTGTTGACTAGTTTTGGCTCCAAGATTTCGGGGGGAGACACTGCCTGCCCTTTGTGCCCCCTCCTAAGGCCGCGCCTGCAGTCGGTCACCTCTTGCTGCTCTGAACCACTTCCGCCGAGGCTACCGACCCCGCCGGACCGCCTTCCGTGGCCTCAGCCGGTGGGCCCTCCCCGCGCGACCCTGTCGCCGCCCCCGGCCGCCCCCGCGCTCGTCCGGCTACTGCGCCGCAATGTGGCGGAAGCCAGGGCGAGCACAGCAGCACGGACTAGGCGACGCACACCGGGCAGCCGTCCCCTCGACGCGCGCCACGCGCGGGGCGGCCCCTCCGCCCAAGAGCCGGGCCCGCGCGCTGGGCCCCGGACCGGCGCCTGGCGGCGGGCGCGCCGGGCCTGCTGCCGTCACGGTCCCTCCGCGAGCACGGTGGGCCCGCCCGAAGCGCCCGGCACGTCCAGGGCCCCGGCTCCGGGCCTCGTCTTGCAGCAGCCACGCTTTCTCACCACCTGTGCCAGTTCCGAGGCCGCCTTTCTCGCGCCCCGACGGCGCCCCAGCTCGCGACCCCGCCTGCGCGCGCACTGCGAGGGCGGCCCGCTCCGGCCAGGGCCGAGGGCGCGCCCCGGGGACCGCGCGCCCTCCGGCCCCGCCAGGCCCGAGCGGCGGAACGCGCATGCGCGCGGCGCCGCTCCCGCCCCCAGCTCGCGCCCGCGCCCAACGCCCCCGACGCGGCCCGCCGGGCCATGGAACCCGCCGCAGTCGGCGCGGCTCCGGCCCTCCCGTTCGCTCGGCCGGGCGCCTCGCCCCCGTGACGCCCGCGGCGCTCGGCCGCGGCCCGGCGGCCGCCCGCCCGCCCGCCGCGCCGCCCGCCTCCGCCGCTCGGCGGGCGCGCGCCGCGCTCCCGCGGCCGGCCCCCGCGCGTGCGCGCTGCGCCAAGTGTATGTGTGTGAGTGTGTGTGCGGCCGAGGGGTGGGCCGCCGCCGCCGCCGCCGCCGACGATGCCGCGGGGCCGCCCCCCGAAGCCCAAGGAGAGCAAGGCGCGCGGCGACACCGGTAAGCGGCTCCGGCCCGGCCGGCCGCGCTGTGCCGCTCCGCGCGAGTATAGTCCCCGGATGCCGCGCGGAGGGCGCCGGGAGCGGGCCGGGCCGGGGGCGGCCGGCGGGGCCGGGGCCGGGGCCGGGGCGGGGCGGGGGCCGCCGCCGCCGCCGCCGCCGCCGCCGCGCCCGCCGCCGCCGCCGCCGCCGCCCAACTGGCGGCCGCAGGGCGCGGGCGGAATGATACCGGCGCGGCGCGGCGGGCCCCTCCGCCGGGCTGGGCCTACTTTCCTGGGCCGGGCGGGCGGCGGCGGCGGGGCCGGGGGCGAGGTGCGCGCCGCCGCCGCCGCCGCCGCCCTCCTCCCTCCCCCTCCCGCTCCCCCGGCCGCCCCCCGCCCTCGCCGCCCCCGCCCGCGGGCATCCGGCCTCCCCGGCCCGCCCGGCCCGGCGCCCCCGGGCGGCGGGAGGCCCTCCTGAGGGAGGCGCCCCCCCCGGGGCGGGTCTCGGGCCACAGGCGGGCCGGAGGGACAGGCGCCCCGGCTCGGCCTGGTCGCCCCGGGCTGCCGGGTGCGCGCTCGCTGCGCGGCCCCGGCGGGGAGGCCCGGGGAGGCCCTCGGGCGCGCGGGCCAGCGGGGGCGGGCCTGGCGGGCTCGCGCGGGGGCCGGGGCCCGGGGGGTGCGGGGGTGCGGGGGCCCGGGGGCCGAGGTCGGGGGGCCGGGGCCGGGGCGGTCGCAGAGGCGGCTGCGTGTCAGCGGGGGCCGGGGGTGGGGATGCGGGCGATGGGCTCCTGCGCTTGGCCCCTCGCTGGCTGGCGACGGGGCTCGGGGGCCCTGGGTTCCCTTCCCTGGGGAGGGATAAGCGGGACTCACTGGGCGCTCGGGCCTGGCGGCGGGCACCCGCACTGCTTTTCGAGACGGAGGAAGGTCACTTGCGGGAGCTGCGCGGCACAGTGTTTGTTTTGCCCTTGCTCGCATTTAGGAAGAGAGGAGCAGGCTGGGCAGCGGGGCGAACTTACTGGTGGGACGGACCCAGCGAGGCGTCGTTACTGCAGGTCCCCAACCCATCCAGTGAGCAGACACGTAATTAAGGAAATGTTAGAATGCAGAGCCTGTGAATGCGGCAAGACCCGACACCCCTCCCTAGCTTTTCGGGAGCTGAGATGTTGGCTGGGGAATAATGCGGGTCTGCAGGTTCCTAGTTGGGCAGCGACTGCTCCGAATCCGGATTAGTGGCTGCTGGTGTCTGCAAGGGGGTCGTAGGGCCGTTCACTGCTCCCGCTTTGGCCTTATTTTGTTCAGTGTTTGTATTTTAAGGTGCTTTCTCCAAAAATAATGTAAGTGCAGTGCCTCTCAGTTACTTGGAAGAAGGTGCAGGCTAGACCATGGAAAATGTGCATCAACCTAAGGCCGGGAACATAATCCCCCCAATCTTTCCCATCTTCCCAAATGGCGTCACTATTCACCTGGGTTTTCAAGCCCTAAATGTAAGAATAAGTCTCTCTCTCTTACTCCTCAAGACAATTCATAACTAGTCTTGCAGCTTCTGCCTCAAAAATGTATTTCCAGCCAGCCCTACCCTTTCCACGTCTGGTGCCCCTGGCTGGCCCAGCCGGTCTGTCTCCAGGTGGACTTCCATGGGAGCCTCTCACTGCTCCCAGGTAGCCTCGCCCTACCGTAAGTCCATCGCTATCAGCCTGGAGGAGCTCTTTAAAATGTAGATGAAATGGCCACACCCTGATTAAAACTCTTCAAAGGATTTCTCATTCCTTAAGGTAAAATCCACATCCCTGCAGGGTCCTAATTGATCTGGCCTTGGGTAGGGCTCATTTCTCTCTTGCCTTGCTCTAGCATTCGGTTCTTTGGGTTCCTGGTTGAGGCCACATTTGTGGTGAATGGAGGCTTTTGCTCTTCCTTTCCTGAGAATCCACCTGCTCTTGCTCATTCCTTAGGTCTCAGTGCTTCAGCTTCCTAACAGAGGTCTTCCTCAAACCTGTCTGAAAATAACTTTACAAAGGAGCCTTTCCTCACAGTGAGGTTCCCGGAGACACTTGGAGGGGTATGCCGGGTAAATATTTCCATAGCCATACTGTTAACATTTGCACCAATGGTACGAAAACCATTCCGGGTAAAATTGCTGACGCCTTTGCAGGGATGCAGGCGGCCGTGGCATTGGACTGTGGGAAGCTGTGCTGTCTTCATGCATTTCACTCAAAAACAACATACTGAATATATTCCAAGTAAAATAATTTGCAGGAAAATAAAACATAACATATTGCAACAGAGAGAATGCAGAGGCAGACGTGAGGATCCGCTTGTCTTCTATCTACTAAGCCAGACATTAAAAAGATTTGTAAAAGTGAAAACTCTTCTTACTGCTTTTTCGGAGAATATATTTTTCGTAAAAGTGTGTATTTGCATTAACATATAATAGGTTTGTTTTTAAATGAATAAATATTTTAAAAAGTGCTCAGTTTTAATTTCTAATAGGGCAAGTGGCGATATAATCTGTATAAACTTAAGGTGTTTGGGGTCCTCAATAATATTTAAAAATGTAAAAAGATCCTGAGATCAAAATGTTTGAGGACTGTTGCTCTGTCAGTTCACTGTCTTAATAATGTTTCTCATTATCTGAAATGATTTTGTTTTGTCTGTTACCATTATGGATTTTATGCCTAAGAAAAACTGGGAAGGTCGGTGGGGCTTTTTACAGATAGGGGGAATAAAGCTCAGAGAGGTTCAGTGATTTGGAAGGTCCACCCAGCTAGTGTCAGAGTTGGGATTTGAGTCTATATTTGAGTCCAAAGTGTGCATTTTATTATTTTGTCTTGATGAATATAAAGCCCAAATATGGGTTAATGAATTTCTTGAACAAATATGTTGAAGCACTTCCTGTGGTGGGCGGGTACTGCTAGAGGCTGGATCACAGAGCTCAGCAACAGAGAACAGGATCTCTGCCGTGGCCCTTGAGGACCGCGCATGTCCTGTGATGGTGGGAATGTCAGAATGGAAACCTCAAGAAAACATGAGTAGGCACTGAAAAACATTTCTTGGAGTAATAATTAGCTTAGGACATAAGTGCCGTAGTCCCCCCACCCCACCCCCCATACCCGTGGTTTCAGTCCCTTGCGGTTGGAAGCAGGTGGCCCTCTTTCTGACACAGTGTCAGAAGGTCCTGGTAGCCTAACGCTGTGTCATGGTGCCTTACTTGATGGCATCACAAGAAGAAGGGTGAGTGCAGCACAGTAAGAGACTTAGAGGGAGAGAGACCACATTCACCCAACTTCTACAGTGTATTGTTAGAGTTCCTATTCTGTTATTATTGTTAATCTTTTACTGTGCCCGATTTCTGAGTTAAGCTCAGTGAGAGGTACGTATGTGTAGGAGAAAACGGTACAGCTAGGGTTCAGCACGCCGTGGTTTCAGGCACCCACTGGGGGCCTGGCAGTACACCACCTGTGGCGGGGGGGGGCTTCTGGAGTGAAGGAAGCCTCCTGTGGGGGTCGGTGGGGGCCGTGTTTATTGAGCACTTGCTTGGTGCCTGGCACTGTCGGATATAAAGATGAGTGAAATCGCATTTTTTCCTTATCGTACTTATTTTAGTTTACTCTCACTAAGTAGTAATGTGACCTTGATGGTCTTACATGGCTTCCATTTGTTTTTTCCAGTGTGGTGGTATGGATTTTTTCTCCTGAGCTTGTACCTTTAGTTGGCCTCCTGCTAAGTTTTTGTTTTCTGTTGGAGGAATATTTATACTACTTCGTTTCCAGAGAGAAGAGACAAACAGACCTTGAGCCAGATGAATAAACAAGTCTTCTCTTGCTCAGATGATCAGTTTGGGCCATTTTAGCTCTGGATGAATTCAGGGTGAATTCTCCAAGGGGACTAGACTACTAGGATGAGCTAAGAGCCATGGACTTTAGCATACTAGGTGGCGGGAGATGCTCTCAGGTTTAAAGGTGACTCATGTACTTCAGCAGACAAAACTACTGGCAGGAACGAGGGGAGGACAGATTCTGCTTAAAATAATAACAACTTTCTAACAGTATTGGGTATCCAAGGATGAAAAGATTTCTTCATAAAGGAGCACCTTTCATTCTCCATACTTGAACTTTTTAGGTAGGCAGAGACTTGGACTTTTTAGTATTTTGAGAAAAGTGTGTTAGGTAACACATCAAATTTAAAGATTTTATGATCCTGGAATCAAGTAGTGAGTTAACAGGAGTTCAAAATCTTGGTCTTTCCCACAATAAAGGAAAAATATGTCATTATAAGGATTTACTAAAAAAAAAAAAATCTCGGTCTTTGACACAAATACAGCCTGGGAAAACGTACAAAACCATAATTCTTTGTGAGATAAAGTCAATTCAGCAGTTTTTAGAATAATGCTTATCCTATATCAGGGTCTTTCTATTTTCTCTCTGTACAAAGGCCATGTCTTTGTGCTCACGCAGTTAGTGTTTTTCAAACTACTTTTTAGTCTTAGAACTAATGACGTGAAATAATATGGCAAGGTCTCAAGTGGCGGTTTTCACTCTTGGCAAAACACCATGGAATTACCTGGGGGAGCTTTTAAGGATCCGGAGGAGCAGGCTGTGTCTGAGCCTGTGAGGTGGGACTGAGGCATTGCTGCACTGAAGGGTCCCTGGTGGGGCCACTGCGTGGTCAGGGCTGAACACCACTGGTCCACGGCAAAGCGGTTCTGGTGGAAGGGCAGGAGACTGCGGGATTCAGAGACAGACAGCCCATACCCTCTGGGGTGCCTTCCCCCCAAATCTCAGCAGAGTTGAAAACTATTGCTTTAGTGGATTAAGATGAATACTTTATGTAATCAGCCGCGTGAACGGACAGTGTGCTCTTACTACAGGAGTTAAACACTCAGTTGTTTACGGGTCAGACAGCTAATGCAGACTAGTGTGTCAGTTAAAGGTAGTCGTGACAGGTAATAGCCGGTCTGGGCCCTGGTCCTGCTCTGCTGCATTTGATTATTGCCGCGGCTTTCGAGTTTTCAAGAGAAGCCAGACGTGTGTATTTCTTTGAAACCCTTAATGTTGTATTTTAGCAATTATGTTAATTGAACAAAACATCTCCAGAGGAAGTGCACAGACTTTCCTGTGCTTCATGAATTTCCATATGTAACCAGCACCTAGGACATAGGCAGGATCTCCCAGAGTTCCCTTGTTCCTTCCCAGTTAGCACTGCCTTCCCTCTCCCTGCTCCATGCACTCTCCTCTTCAGGTACCACAGGGTAGTTTGACCCATTTTCAAACTAAATGGAACTCATAGCATGGACCCTTTTGTTTCTGGCTTCCTTCACCCAGTGTTTGTTTTTATGAGATTATCCCTGTTATCATTCCGCAGAAACAGGTTCAATTACATGGTTGTATATTGTTCCATTATATAATGTACTGTCAGCTTGTCCTTTCTACTGTAGGTACTTTGGTTGTTTCCAGTTGGGGACTATTACATATATGTGCTGCTATGAACTTCTGCATTTCTGGGTCATAGCAGACACCGTCAAACAGTTTTCCAGTGAATGTACTAACTTCTCCTACCAGCGGTGTCAGAGAGTTGCGTTCACTCTGTCCTTTAGCATTTTAGCCATTCTGGTATGCGGAGTGTTAATTTGATTTTAAACTTGCAGTTCTGTGCTAATAAAGACCTTATATTTATTAGCCATTTGTTCTCTTTCGTGAGGCTGTCATTTAAGTCTTTTCCGATTTTCCTACTGGGTTGAATATTTATTTATTTATTTATTTTAGTTAATAGACTTTATTTTTTATAGCAGTTTTAGGCTTACATTAAATTGAGCAGATAGTACCTATTCCTACATGCTCCTAATTCTCCCCCTCAGGCTGTCCCCTGTTATTAACACCTTGTGTTAGTCTGGTACATGTGTAACAATTAATGAACCGATTTTGATACATTATTATTTAATAAAGTCCATAGTTTACATTAGGGTTCACTGTCTCCATAGTTCTGCTTGCTCTCAAATACCGCATAGCTGGAATCATACAATATGTAGCCTTTGCAGACTGCCTTCTTACTAGGCCATGTGCATTTAAGATTCCTTCATGTCTCTTCATGGCTTGATAGCTCGTTTCTTTTTATTGCTGAATGATATTCCATTGTCTGGATGCACCAGTTTGTTTGTTTATATTTTGAAGGATATCTTGGTTGCTTCCAGTTTTTGGCAATTATAACTTGCTGTAAACATTTGTGTGCAGGTTTTCAGCTCATTTGGGTAAATGTTGAGGACCACTGTGCTGGATTGTACGGTGAGACTGTGTTTAGCTTTGCAGGAAATTGCCAAACTCCTCCAAAGTGGCTGGGTGATTTTGCATTCTCACCAGCAGTGAATGAGAGTTCCTGTTGCTCCACATCCGTGTCTGCATTTGGTATTATTAATATTATTTTTTAATTCTAGTCTTTCTAATAGGTGTGTAGTGGTATCTCATTGTTTGAATTGCAGTTCGCTTATGAGATATAATGTAAAGCATCTATTTGTATGCTTCCTTGCCATCTTTGGTGAAGAGTTCTGTCTTTTCATTATTGATGTATAGGAGTTCTTTATGTATGCTGTATATGAGTTCTTTGTATTTTTCTGTTCACTCTTTTTAGGATATCTTTTCATGAAAGAAGTTCCTAATCTTAATATTGTCTAATGTATCAGTTCTTTCATGTTTGGTATTTTTGGGACCTGTGTAAGGAGTCTGACAGTTGTAAGATCATGAAGGCCTTTTCCTATATTTTCATCTTTATTGTTCTACTTCTCACCTTTAGATTCATCATCTACTGTTGAAGGGCATTTGCATTGTTTTAATTTGCTGGCTGTTGTAAATAATGCTTCTGTGAGCATTTTTAAACACGTGTTTTTGGTACACCTATGTACACATTTCTGTGGGGATATACCTAGGAGCGGAATTGCTGGGTTACAGGGTTTGTGTGTGTTCAGCTTTGGTCACTGCTGCTAAATGGTTTTTGAGTGACTGTAGTGATTTTCACTTTCTAGTGGAATATGAGATTTCCAGCTGTTCCACATCCTCATCAATCCTTGTTTTTTTCTTTCTTTTTAATTTTAGCCCTCCTAGTAGATGTGTAATTTACTTTTCTAAAACAATATTTTTTGTTTCATATTTATCATTCCTTGGATTTTCACAACAACCCATAAGTACGCAGGATGGAAATCAGCCGCATCTTTGGATGAAGAATTGAGCTGAGCAACAGATTATCTGCTTTGCAGAGATCTTACTAACCACTTGGCAGGACTGACATTCATAAAGCTCACGATTCCCAGTCTTGCTTTCATCACCATCTCCCTAATCTTTGACCAATAACCCATGTTTTAATCTATAGATACCCATTTTTTAAGATATGTACATTAAAAATAGTATGTACTGTGCATACACACTTCATTGGAAATTGGGACAGAATCTTGGACTGGGCTACCCATAATTTTCTGTGGCACCCTTTAGCTGTACTTGATTGTTGTTGCAGTGCTAACATAAATTGTACATTTGTGGAGATGAGAAACAGAATAATGGCAGCAAATAGATCAACAAAAAATTATTCTATTACATATAGAAAATTAGTTTTTTGCATTGTCTAAGGACACATTATTCTCAGCAATACATTCCCGGATCATTCTCAAAAAGGCATTGTTACTTTTAGACCTTGGGCCTTGGGTTGTTTTAGCTAGATGGGGAGGCTGTAGATACTGAAGATACTATTTTGTTATAATTTTAACACACCATGGTTTTGTTAAATTGGAATAGTGTGTGTGGTGTCTAAATATACATCCGTCTGAGTTTAACGTCTTCTTTAGAAATAAAAATGTACAGGTAATAAAAGCAAATATTTGAAAGAGGATTGACATTCCTTTTAAAGATAGAGACAGTCGGGGTGCCTCGGTGGCTTAGTCGGTGAAGTGTCTGCCTTCGACTCAGGTCCTGATCCCAGAGTCCTGGGATAGGGCTGTGTCGGGCTCCCTGCCCCTGCTCAGCAGGGAGTCTGCTTCTCCCTCTCCCTCTCCCTGCCATTCCCCTGCTTGTGCTCTCTCTCTCTGCCAAATAAATAAAATCTTTAAAAGAAAAATAGAGACAGTGTAGTAATATGAGGCTTGAAAGGGAAACTCCACACAGATACAAATACTGACAAAGTGGGCATATTGAAGGCACACCTGGGTAAAGGTGAACTTTACTGTGGGAACATGAGCGACCTGACCCTGTTAGGGACCCTTTAGTGAGTCTTTGACCAGGTATTTATCTTTAACTCTGTGTCACAGATAATATTTCATATCGTTTATCATGAAACCAGTATCAATGTTGCAGACTCTAATTGTCTCATTGAAACTACTCGTGGTTTTGACAAGCAGCGTACTTTGGCTTGACTCTCAGTTGAATATGTTTTATACTGAAAGAACATAAACAGAGTTAAGCTTACAATTGACATAAAATACTGTTGATAAAATCCAGGTTCACCTTCTGTTTTTATAGTAGACACAAGATTGAAATTGGGGTTTAAAAAAAAAAAAAAGAAATTGGGGTTTCATCTCAGAAATCATGACCTTGAGAGGCATGGAAGCCTGAATACTTAGGAGAGAGCCTTGAACTATGAGTTGAAAATTACTTCCAGTTCTGCCCTGGCTAACTGTGTGATTTTGACCAAGGGGCTAAGTTTTTCTGGGGTCTTAGTTTCCTTAGCTATACAACAAGGAGATGGAGTGTATAACACACCTATTCCCCCCAAGTAAATTTTATTTCTTACTTTTTAATGTAACCCCTTTTGAACAGGTAATACATTATAATGCTTCAGAATTTAAAAAAATTAAAGTCCCTTTCCCAGCCCTATTTCCCAGTCAGATAGTTACCTTTTTACAGGTAACCAATGCTGTTATTTTTTCTGTAGTTTTACAGGGATATTTTATGCACATACAAGCAAATATGTGGTATATCTGCCCCACCCTGCCCTTTTTAAAGGAGTGATAGCACCTAGAACATACGGCTTTTTTTCATGACTACATTTTGAGGATTGTTTTTTTATATGAGTACATTTCATTTCCAAATGAATATTTACCTAAAAGCAAATACATTGAATAAGTAATGGGTGCAATTCAAAAAGTGCCAGAGTCTTCCCTGGTAATACCCACCCCTCTTGGTGCAGGCACTTTTGAGTTGACAGATGGCTTGTTCCTTTTTTTTTTTTTTTAAGATTTTATTTATTTATTTGACAGAGAGCATGCAAGCACAAGTAGGCAGAGAGGCAGGTAGAGGGAGAGAGAGAAGTAGAGTGCCTGCTGAGCAGGGAGCCCGACGCGGGGCTTGATCTCAGGACCCCAGGATCATGACCTGAGCCGCAGGCAGATGCTTAACCGACTGAGCCACCCAGGCGCCCTTGTTCCTTCTTAGAAGGAAGCAGGTGCTTATGGCTGGTGCTGTGAACTCAAGCACTTTCTTTTCTGACAGATTCTATGGAGAAAATAACGTAGATGCATTTCAGCTGGCTCCTAGGAACAACCAAATGGCTAAGGAAATGTACAAAATAGGAATAGTCAGTGGATGCATAACAAGTGGGAAGAAAACTAATTTAGGTAATTTTGAGGTGAAGGGTATGAGTCAGGCTATAAGTGGAGATTAGATACGCTGGTCTTAGGCACTTTGGACAACTGGGTAGAGACCAAAAGAGTCATTAGCTTTCATCTTATCTCTGACTATTTAGCAAATATTTGCTAGGCACTCAGGATGTGCCAGGCTTGTGCAAGCCTTTGGAGGTTCAGTGACCAAGTAGAAAGGGCTCACGGGCCCAAGCACTGCAGAGTTTTATCTGAAAAAGTCCAGCCATGCTCAGACCTGAATGCTGACCAGTGTGAGAGGAACAGGAGAAAACAGGAGAAAGGAGAAAAGAAGAAACTAGAAAACAGTAAAAATAACACACACACATACACACACGAAAGTAAAGAGGAGAAAGCATGGTAGCTGAAGTGGGACCCTACCTGAAGTAGGGGCGACAGCTGTCAGACTTCTCCAAGGCCTGTTTGGCGACCTCAGAAAGCATCCTAATGTCAGAATGAAGAGCAGAGAAGAAGCCTCCATGGTTAGAGAGCTGGGTTCTCGGGGACAAGATGTTGGAAGACGGGGACGCCTGGGGGGCTCAGCCGGTTAAGCGTCTGCCTTCAGCTCAGGTCATGATTCCAGGGTCCTGGGATCCAGCCCCACGTGGGGCTCCCTGCTCAGCGGGAAGCCTGCTTCTCCCTCTGCCTCCGCTCGCCCTTCTTGTGCTTGTGTGCTCACGCTCCTCTCTCTCAAATAAATAAATAAATAAATAAAATCAATCTTCAAAAAATGTTTTAAAAAAATGTTGGAAGACGGGCCTGTTGAGAGCAGTAGAGATGTCAACTACTTTTTGGAAAGTTTTTATTCAAAACAAAAATAAAAACAGATACAAAGTTTGGGGGTTAGCTCAGTTAGTTTAGAAAATGAATCTGGTGTATCTCATTTTAATATTAAAAATCCCTCAGCAGGATTTATGGATAGCTGAGGTCTTCAGTGCATAGTGCTTAAGGATTTAAGTCAGATGCAAACTGGAGTTAAATCAATGGAATGCTATAAATGCAATAGGTTTTGTTGAACCATCATATCATAGGCAATTTGTATAAGAGATCAACTTAGCAGGGCATCTGACTGGTTCAGTCAGTTGAGCAGGCGACTCTTAATCTTGGGGTTGTGAGTTCGAGCCCCACACTGGGTGTAGAGATCACTTAAAAAGATCAACTTAGCTCTTTAGATGAGAGGTAAGGACAGACCTTTGCCATTAAGATTTAGCTGGCTGGACTGACTTGCTGCGCCTGGTCTTGGGAGAAGAGCAGTTTGTGGGCTTGTCCAGTCCCCATTATGGACCAGGCCTGGATATAGCTGTGGCAGAGTATGGTTATGGAGGGCCGGCTAGGGTATCGGGTGGCAAGGATGAGCATTAAGGAGGTGGCCGTGTTCCTAAATCATTGGTAGGCTCTGTCTCAGTAGCGTCAGGAAGCATTATTTTATTTAATCTGTACAACACTGAGATAGGCTTTATTATTTGGGTGGCTGGTTGATAAATAGTTATTATATACTATTGAGAATCTCTGTGTAAAGAGTTAAATTGATTTTGAAACGAGTCTTCACATTTTTCCAAGGAAAACAAAGCTGCTCAAACAGTTTCTGATCTTTGCCATCAGTTTCTGTTTACATTTGATAGTGAATTTGAGTTCTTGGTATCAGGAAGGGTGAGCAGTTGAAGAGAATGTGGTCGTGCGCGTGCGTGTGTGTAAGGGGACCTAAACCGGCTGGAATTAGCCTACTGAGTGTCCCTGCCTTCCTGGAACCTCACAGTGATCCATCCCCTGCCTCTGGGGGTGGGGGACCGGCAGAAGCTGGTACTGGATGAACTCATAGATTTGAGCACTGCTCATGCACGCAGATCCATGCTTCTGTTGTGTGTGTGGGGGGGGGGGGGTGGGGGGCAGGCTACAGAGAATACCTGTTCTGATTTGGGAGGCATGAGCAATGCGTGGTGCCAAAACCTCACGGGAAGGTCCTCCAGCTGCTTCTAAAACATGCAGCGGTGCTCAGGAGGGCTGACCGCTAAGAGGCTGCCATTCATTTGGCCGCACCTTACTTAGATCCCTGGCCCCTCAAAAAGTCTGGTGGCCTCTGTGGCTGCAGAGTTGTCACCCCGCCCTAACGATGGGCGAAGGCATGGACATGGAGTATCTGCATGAAGTTTTCTCAGGGCTTGTCGATCTCCCGAAGCGTGTCCTAAGGATACATCAATTTTGTGGACTTCTTTCAGGAAAACACATACTCTGGGGACCAGAAATTTGAATGAGCTTGAAGAGGGGATAGGCAGAAGGGGTTATTTTAAGGCCTCGGATGCTACCCAGACAGAAAGCAAAGTGTGGATGAGAGAGCCCACCTCGCCCTGGGAGAAAGGCTTGTACTTTTCTCAATGCGGAAATGGTGTGGTTACAAAATGTGTTCCCCCAAAGCAAAGTGAAGGTCAGGAGATGCTGTGGATTTTATTTTATTTCATTTTTATTATTTATTTATTTTTTTAAAGATTTTATTTATTTATTTGACAGAGTTAGTGAGAGCAGAAACAAGCAGGGGGAGTGGGAAAGGGAGAAGCAGGCTTCCCGCAGAGCAGGGAGCCCGATGCGGGGCTCGATCCCAGGACCCTGGAATCATGACCTGAGCCGAAGGCAGACGCTTAACCGACTGAGTCACCCAGGTGCCCCAATGTTGTGGATTTTAAAATTATGCTCAATGTGCAAACTAAAGCATGTTTTTCCCTTTCAGTTATGCTTTAATTTGAATCAGCGTTGTTTTAAGTTTGTCTATGAACCAAATTAATATTGTATTATCACTGGGAGAAGGGACTTAGTGAAAATGTGATTTTATTATGTTTTGAGCTTTGTTAAAGAGGGAAATCTTGCTTCTTAAGATAAAAATCTTTTCTGGAAAAGTCTTAATTCATAAGCAAAACAATGTCATTTTTGGTTTTAAATGTATAGTTTCTTATCTCTTAGGGTTTTATTTATCAGTTGCAGTTAATTACATCCTTTCTCATTTTGGGGTAACATTAAACAGTTTCAGTTTAGAGGCTGTGAACATTGTTTCATTCTACATCCTGAAATAGCCTTTTAATTTTGCTTTCTCAGGAGGGGAGGAGCTCCCTCATGACTGCATTCAGCCATTAGGTGGAAACACTCCCTACTGAGTTTTTAAAACACAATTTTCAAAAGAAACTTTACTTGAACATTCCCAACCTCTGTTTCTTTCCATAGTATAAACTTTCCCAAAGGGAATAATGTATCAATTGATATGGTCGCAACAATCATTTTATTTGGGCCTGGAGAGCATAAAACATTTTGTTACTAATTTAATTAAAGTAGAAATTTTGAATACATGGTCTTTGAGTAGAATGTGGATATAGTGAAGAATAAGTAGAAGTTACGTGTATCTTTCCTGTGGTAGGCCCGTTCTGTTTCTGGATGAAGTTTTTCTATTGAATTATATTAGTGTTTCTTGAAACTGGAATCTGCTTTACTCAAGGATCTGCTGGAAGAATTCCTGAAGTTGTTACCAGCCTTCTCCATGCCTCTCTACTCCCACCTCCTCCGTGGCCTCCTCCACCTCCCATCTGGAGAATTTCTCATTTCTTGCTTACCACAGATGCCAATGTAGGGGAGGGGGACTTCTGGCCGAAGCTGGATTGCAGGCTGTTTTCTCAAAGGAGGGATTTAAAGGTCTATTGAAAATTTGGAATGCCCTTGTTTGCCACATGGATGTTTGAGAAATAGAAGACTCTCTGGAGCTTACTTGAGTCTTAAAATCAACCCTACTTTACTTCTAGATTTCTAAATTTCAATATTTTTGAGTCAAATTTGATACAAAGAATTATATGTGATGTATTTCTAGTCTTTGTATCATTAATACGTGTTGTATATTTGTGCCTAAATTATAAGACTTGGAATTTATTATTTTAAAGAATTGTAGAGGTTTAGGACATCTTTATTTTCTGAGATTCTTGACAAATTTTTGTGATTATTACATATTTTTATTTGAAAATACTTTTATGTTTATAGCCGTTGACCTACGTGGGTCTATAGAAGCGCATCATGAAGCCTAAGGATTGTCCAAAGCACTGCGGACAAAGGTCTTCCTAAACCCTAACCATATGGGAGAACAGAAGTTTTTCCTCTCTGACTTAATCTCGCTCTGCAGCAGTTTTCAGAGGTAGATTGAATTAGTGAATTAGCTTTTATGCTTCTTGAGTTTTGTTTGCTGAGCGACTTAAGATGAACAATGTGGGTTACTGATGGATTCTCAAAGCGACTTAGAGATGAAATGCCTCTGTGATTTCTAGTGACGTTGAAGCCATATTAAGCATGAAGGCAAGGCTAAGAGACATCATGGCTTTTATGTGTCTTTGGGTGGATGTCAACTCAGGAGTTTAGTTTCAGGTTTCTAAAAATCCCACCAGCAGGTGCTTATAATCCCCTTGTCCTGTGCCTCAGGCTTCCCAGCATTTCTCGTTTCTGACTTAAAATCATGTCCTTTCGAAAAATTTAAGATATATTAATTTCTTCTAAATTATCTCGTAAATCTCGGCCATAATTTGGTTTCTAAACAATAACCAAATAATTTAGTTTTATTTATGTGATGAGAATAACAACTGGTATTTATTGTCTATACTTATGCAATTTTATAGATGGAGTTTTAACATTGAATGCGGAGAACACTAATTATGCCTATCAAGTTCCAAACTTCCATAAGTGTGAAATCTGTCTGCTATCTTTTCCAAAAGAGTCCCAGTTTCAACGCCACATGAGGGATCACGAGCGAAATGACAAGGTATGTATTCTCAAGAGGGATGTCAGAAATGTGAGCGTTGAAACTGGAGGTATTGTAAAAATCAGCATGCCAAATACAAATTTTTCTTGTAATTTAGGTTCCTAAATTGTGGGGCATTTTATCTTACATGAATATATCCCTTGATGTTTTGTGCTTAGCTGTAGTGTATTCCTAACCCTTATATGGGTTAATGAGATCAAGTGAGAGCCGGTCTAGTGAATCTCTGTGTTGAAGTTCTTTATCTGTGGACAAAAAAATCATCTCAAAACAGGACTTTCTGTGGTTCGATTTCTGTGTGACTGAACGCAGATTTGGTATATCTTGATGTGTTTTTCTCCAGCAGGGAGTGTTATCCGAGGTGGTCCTGCGTTTTAAAATGGTATTCCAGAGATTTTAGATTGCATTTCAGCAGGAAGTAACACTATCTTAGAGTTTGGAATCCTTTTTTGCAGGGCCCCTGTGGGCTAGGTTAAGAGTATTAGTGTCTTAATGGAATGAGCTGCCTGATAGAAAGTGGCAGTTAAAACTACCTTTAAAAAATGATCGTTGACTTTTCCTAGTTTGGGAGAACATACGCCAGTGAGCCATTTGAGGTCAGGAGAATGCCGGGGATCTCTTCCCTAGGGAACAGGACATGACTAACTCTGGCTTTGTCTTCAGCATGTATCTGATATATAGTATATGATCATACATAATATCACTAGTACTGATATCAACTGGTATTACCCTCCTAAGTTGAAAATCTGAAAGTACTGACTCTAGTGTCTTGATATTCAGAGAGAAATACCAGTGATTACTTTATCTTTCTACAAGTAAATGGCAGGAATACCTTTCATTTGGGGAAAATTTTAGACTGTGATAAGCAACTCTCTTAAAATGTAGTAAAAGTTTTTATGATTACTGATTTTACTTGAAGTGATTCTGTTTAGAGCAGTGGAGTTGGTCAGAAAAGAAGGGAAAAATCCATCCCAGGGAGTTGAAGTTTCTCACCTTTATTTTCATAGTGACTATATCCTGATACATTTATATGCAGCATTTTTTATTCAGGATATTTTCTGCATTGATGTGTTGTCGTCCTTAGAATCCTTTGAGAAATTCTGTAAGGAGCTTTGCTGTGTCCATTTTGGGTTTATTGACTTCAGGTCCAGAAGAGATTTCAGAAGTTCCTTAGATTGTCTATAGATTATGGTACGTGTTAATATTTGAATGGCATTTATTGTGGAAAGATTGTATTTCAGTGGCTTCTTGACTTTTCTCTCCAAATAGCCACATCGATGTGACCAGTGCCCCCAAACATTTAATGTTGAATTCAACCTGACACTTCATAAATGCACCCACAATGGGGAAGATCCTACCTGTCCTGTGTGTAACAAGAAATTCTCCAGAGTGGCTAGTCTCAAAGCGCATATTATGCTACATGAAAAGGAAGAGGTAATTATTTTGGCCTATACTTTGTTCATGGATTTTTAAAATGCATCTAATCCTTAGGGGGATTTTAAGTATCAACTAGTTTAACAAGCCTTTCGTATAGATTTCTAGGAGTTAATTATCATTCAGTGTGCCTTGCCTAATTCTCTACTTCACTGACAAAACGTTTTATTTTCTGGCCCGTCAGTATCTTAGGATAGACACTCTCAATGTGTTGTATCTTTGGAGGGTCCACTTGCGCCCACATAGGATTCTGCAGTGGTCAAAAGCAAATGTTCGGTCTCTAAAGACGGTAGTATCTCCTCGCTTGGCTTCTGGATCCCCTGACGTGTGGGAATTTGGGAGAGGAGAAGAAATTCTTGATGCCCCAAAGCAGTTTATACAGCAAAGTGAGCAATTCTGAAAGGCCCACAGCTGTCGTCCTGGAACTGCATTGAGGATGACAGGGCCACATTGCTGATGTGTGGACGGGGGCTTCCTATTGCTGGGGTGGGTGGGCCTAATTTAAAGTACAAATGGCTATTGCTTTAAAAAATTAAACCCCCATGTCCCTGATTATTATTGTGTAAAATTAGGAAAATGCAAACAGTAAAGGAGAAAATAAAAGTCACCTTTAATTCTACTGTCCAGGGATGGGTTATAAAAAACTGTTTGGTATATTTTCTTCCTGAGACAGAAAAACAAGTAACAGTATTTAAATTGCATATATAAAAATTGAGTTCATACTTCTATATACGTTTGTCTCTTCTTTTTATATATGTCTTTACTTTTTAATATAAACGAATTTATTTATATCTTTTTAAAAGTTATTATATAAATAATGTGTTTATTTTGGAAAAATATTAGAAACTAAAGATTAACAAGAGTAACATTATTAGAAGAACCAAGAATCACGACATTTGGAGAGAATGCCTGCATAGCCTTTCAGACTTTTTTTTTTTTTTTTTTTGCTATACATGCTTTCCATAATAGTTTATTTATGTAAGAATAGTTTTTTAATTCAAAAATATTTATGCTACTGTTTTTTTAACCTGCCCTTTTCCCTTAATATATTGTAAATATATCTTTGTCCATTTTCACTTACTATATTATGAATGTTTCCCCATGTCAGTATTTTAAATTACTTTATTAGTCTCCTGCATCTGGACATAGCATGATGATATGCAATCATTTCTTTTGTTATTGAACATCTATTTATACTTTTTAAACATTACACCTAATGTATCATTATATGTATCTTTAATCATTTCATTAGGATAGATTCCTGCAGTTGGGTTTACTGAATTAATACTACCTTTTCAGGTTCTTTGTAGAATGCCACATTATGTTCTAGAAAGCCCGTGCAGCCTCGTCCCTTCTCCTGCAGACTGTAGGTATTCCTTGTCTCACTCATTGCTCTTTTGTTTTTGCTTTTGTTTTTTTTGAAAAGCAGAAAGTGCCTGTGTTAAATGATATAGTGTCCTGGGCTGAGTTCTACATGCGCACAGTAAGAGATCAGAGTAGAGGACGACGTAGAGCATGATTTCCTATTTTGCTGGAAGCGGCTTCTGTGTCCTTCCCTGGGCATTCTGGGCACATACAGATCTCTTCTGCAGCCCCTTTAATCCAGGCCATCCATTCTGTGCCTTTTGTCTTCAGTGGACGGCACCTTAGCTCTTGTGGTGTGTCCGTGCATCGTGGAGCGGTCTCGTTCTTTTCCACAGCACATGGCCTTACGTTGTATACACGCGTATCAATCAGCAGGTTGCCCCGGCAGACAATGTAGGTGGTTTTCAGCCTTGTGTCTATATAAACAGACAAAGCTACAGTGAGCAATCTGTTCATTTACAGATTCTGGTTCTTGTGACTTGCTTAGAAATACTTCCCAAATCTGAAATGATTATTTCTTAAAGTCCCACCAACATCGTGCAGCACCCACGTGCATTGCACAACCCGGGAGGTCACAGCGATCCCTCCACCTCCAGTCTCTCCTTCCAGGACGCCCCCGTGCCCCCCTCCCATCCTCCACCATGGGGACCCAGGCTCCAGCAGGGGCATACTCGCCCACTCCTTTGCTCTGTCCTGTCATTGCCTCTGAAATAGTTTCGCAGTTGGCTCAGCCCACTGTAAGTCAGCCTACTGAACATGGTCTAGGATCTGAAGGACGTCCAGGGCTCTTGGGTTCAGTCCACGTCCTGTTGTAGGCCCACCTCTTTCCCATGCGCACTAACTGCCCTTGACGTGGGTCCAGTTGGTGTGACCACAAAGACAGTCCAAAGCAGAGTAGGGTTTGAGGGTGGGGTGGGGGGTCAGTTTCAATTGCGGATAGTAACTTACTGTTACAAGTCACAGTGATATGAACAAGGAGCATCAGAAGAGCTGCTGCCTGCTGTACCCTCTGCCTGGTCCTCCCAGGGTCCCCGGGGCACTACCACCTTCTCGAGTTTCATCTTTGTCTTTGCTGTGTTTCTCTGTCTTGATAAGCAAATGTTCATATGCTTCCTGTTTTCCTTTTCTGGTTTATTATTGTGAATGTTAGAATTTTGCCTCGTTAAAAATCAGTTGGTACTTTTACTTAGATTGACTTAAATTTTTAGATTGTTGCAGGGAAAAATTGAACATGTTTACGGTATTGAATCTTTATTGTCAAAACATCTCAGTAGCCCTCCACCCTTTCCCACGTGATAGATAGGTGGCAAAAACCTGATTGGATGACCAGCACAGGAGGGGTTAATCAGATTAAAACAGCCCATAAAACCCCCTAGACTTAGGAACTCCAGTGGCAATCCTCTCAGGTCCCCTCCCTCCTCGGGAGCTCTGTATTATCATTTTGCTATCGCTCAATAAACCTTCCTTTGCTGCCACCAAAAAATAACCAAAAAACAAAAAACATCTCAGTATTGTTTTGTTCATATGGATTCAGTATGTTTAAATTCTAAAGTGTTCTAGGATTTTTATTAATATCATTTGGGGGTCTTTCTTTTTTTTTTAAAGATTTTATTTATTTATTTATTGGAGAGCGAGCGAGAGAGAAACAGCATGAGAGAGGAGAGGGTCAGAGGGAGAAGCAGGCTCTCCACCCAGCAGGGAGCCCGATGTGGGACTCGATCCCAGGACCCTGGGAGCATGACCTGAGCCGAAGGCAGTCGCTTAACCAACTGAGCCACCCAGGCGCCCCTGGGGGTCTTTCTGTTACGTGTTTGTCATTTGTCCTTAGGAAAGGAGTGTGTTTTTGTCTATTAGTTTTGTAGCCTGCCGTCCTCCCAGATTCTCTTTGGGTTTTCATCTGTACAGGCTCATCTGCAAATAATAATTGGGTAATAAGATGTTTTGTTTTCACTAGCATGTTGGGGGTGTCTAAAATAAAACCAGCTGTTGATCAGTATAAGTCATCATAATATGTAGTGGTTGCATTTTCCCTAACTTTTTATTTTGAGAAATTTCACCCTTGAAAGATGGGTACAATGAATACTCAAGAACAGTGAATCCTTTACCTGGATTGACCAGTTATTAAAATTTGCCAGACCCCACCCCTGCCACTTCACCCCATTGTCCTGTTACTGCTTCACCTCTAAACACCTCAGTACGTGTTTTTCCTCCTGCTCACAAAACCCATCTCAAGCCCGCGGGATGGCCTGAGGAAGGCGTCAGGACAGTGGGGCACGGGGTCCGGGCTGCGAAGGCGACGAGGTGAGCTGGGGCTGCGGCTTTGCAGCTGCTCTCCGTGTGGGGCCCCCCGGGGGCGCTGTGGCTGCGTGTGGGTCGGGGCGCCTGCCGAGGGCGGCGGTGGCACCCAGGGCTGTCCCGTCGCGGGGCCCTGCCCGCGTCCCCACTGCACCACTTCTGCAGAGCTGCCGTCTGAAATCGACGTTGACTTTCTCCGTGGCGGGAAAGGGCAATAACAGTAATTGATCGTTTCCAGAAAGTCTTAGTTTCTTGGACATTCGTTTCAAAATCTTGCCTTCGTCGTATCTTCTCTTCCACACACTTTGTCCATGTTCTTTCCCACGTTGTTCCCCAGATGGAGCTCACCGTCCTCGCTCTGAGGGCGGTCTCCCGTCTCCCTTCTGTTGCTGGTGGCGGCCCTGTGGTTTGTAGCTGTGCTAGGACGTCCCGTCCCCGAAGGGCGCCCGACCCTCAGTGCCGGTGACAGCCCAGCTGTCTTTGCCTTTTGCTCTCATGGTTGTGAGAACGTCAGCGTGCCCTCGTTTCAGACTCCTTTTTTTCCTAAAAAGGCCTTGGAGGAACGTGTATTTCCTGAGATGAGTAGACTCTGCATTTCTGTTCCCCTTGCTGTCCTGTCTTGTGTCTCTTCTCCTGAGTCTCTCTGTCCACCCACGGTCCCGGGGGAGGGAGAGGCTGTGGTGGCGCCGGGGCCCGTGGCAGGCGGCGGCGTGAGTGTGGCTGCCCGTCGTGGCCCAGAGCCACTGTGTCTGCAGCGGAGAGAGACTCAGTCACCTGGCCTGGTCACCCCACGCCGGGCAGGAGCTCCTGGCAGGGTTCTCCAGGGGCAGAAGCAAAAAGGCTTGGTTGTGCTTGTTTCAGGTGGGAAAATGCGTTGGCCTTGTGTGAAAATTGGGCGCCCTTTTCTTAAAGGGCGGTGTTAGTTTTGGAGTTTTCCTCTGTCCCCTGTGTGGCCTTGTGCGGTTCGGAGCTGGTAGGGCCACTGTGCCCTCCGAGGCTGTCCAGGTCCCCCCCCCAATCCTACCTCTGTCACGTGGCTCGAGGACGAGGAGCAGGGAGAGACCTGGTCTGTGAGCAAGAGAACACAGTCCCTACGCACGGTGGTGGCAAGTAGAGTTTCTAGTCAGAGCCAGCCGTATGCTCGCTGAGGAAATTGATTACTGTGTAAGAAAAGAAGAATAGACATTGGAACACAATTATCAGTCTTTCCCACATATGTTAAAACAGTACATTTCTGGCTACCTTTTTCTGTTTGGCATGTTTTTATTTCTTAGTGACTTGGTATGAATATGGTATGAGTAATACAGGAAGAAGTCCTGACCTTCAGTCACATGCAAAAATAACCTGTCAGGATCCAGCCAACATGGAGAAACCTTCCTTTTTTTTTTTTTTTTTTAAAGATTTTTTATTTATTTGAGAGAGAGAATGAGAGAGAGAGTACGAGAGAGGGGAGGGTCAGAGGGAGAAGCAGACTCCCTGCTGAGCAGGGAGCCCGATGCGGGACTCGATCCTGGGACTCCAGGATCATGACCTGAGCTGAAGGCAGTCGCTGAACTGACTGAGCCACCCGGGCGCCCCATGGAGAAGCCTTTCTATCCCAGCCGCCTCTGCCCCTACAGCTGACACCACCCAATGAGAACATAACCCGCTGATAGAGGGCTGTGGGATGCGGGAAGAAGGCTGGCAGCTGAGGGCCTTCGGGGCTTGAGGAGCAGTACGACGATGAGCTCCTCTGGCTTCTTTTACTCCCACACACCTGGACAGGTTGCTGGAGAAGCCTGTAGCCTTCTGCCAACAGGCACAGATGAAAATAAGCTTCAAGAAAAGCTGGTTCCCCTAAGTTAAAACTGGCAAAAGACTGGTTTACCAATAGAAAATCTTTTTGACGATGCCCACCCTACTCCAGCCAAATACCAACTGAGAAACTGCTCAGCAAGGCTGTGAGTGATCTTCCAACCCATCCTGCCCCCTGTTCCTAAACAGATGGCCCTCTGATCCCGTGACCGCCTGGGATTAAGTACAGAGCTAATCTTGCATCTCTCTCTGGCAGAAGGAGGTGGTACCCAGGCTCCCCCACCCGATGGTGTTAGCAGAGCTAGGCTGGCAGCTGACCTCTCATACTCTGCAGAAGCAGGCAGTGTTGTGATTCTCTGCCAGAGTAGTGCCAGTGGGCCAGTGGGGAGCTGAGCCTCACCGCACCTGACAGCAGTGAGATTTAACCGGAGGATGCAGGACGGACCAGTCCACAGTGAGCCTCCAACCAGATGATGCAGGACGGACCAGTCTGCACTGAGCTTTCCACCCTGGGGTTGGCAGGACCCTGTAGTGAGCCTCCACCCCTGACGTTGTCCTCTGCTGCATCTAGGCGGAGTGACTGCCTGATAAAAGAAAAGCAGAGATCTAGAGTCTCACAGCACGACACCCAGGGTGTCCAGGATACAGTTGAAAATCACTCAACAGACCAAGAACCATGATAGCTCCAGCTCTAATGTAATGAGAAAAGATGGCGTATTCCAATACTGAAGGGACCCCGATGGAATTACTTGGCAAGGATTTTAAAGCAGTCATCATAAAATTGCTTTAAGAATTGTTTTGAAACAAATGAAAAAATGGAATAGAAGAGAGAAGAACCAAAGGGAAATTACAGTGAAAAATGCAGTGAACATAAAGAACTCAGCTGAAGGGCTTGGCAGTGGAATGGGGAACCCGGAGTCTCCCGATGAAGCCCTGGCCAGGGAGAGGACATTCCATACTGGAGTGTGGAGGGTGTGAGTGAGGGTCTGAGACATGGGGCCACAGGGAAAGGTCATGCGGTGGCCCCTGGCGGGGACCTAGAAGGGCAGCTGTTATGGGGAGAGCGGCCGCAGGGCGGTTAGTATTTATCATATTTTATACTCTGACCTGTAAAAATTGACCTTCAGCAAGAAGGGGGCTGATCAGAATGCCGTGCATTTCCCTTGATGAGTTCTGCTTGTTACTCGTCCAGGATGGAAATTATCCAGAAGGGTCTGTTTCTAGGGGACAAAGGAGTCACTACTTCTAGGCTGGAGGATTGATGGCAGCTCTGAATATGGAGAATGCAGGATAGGGGAATGTCCCGTAGCGGTCGGCGAGGAAGCGAGGTATGGGGCTCCTGGCTAGGGCTTCGTCAAGTGTGGCCAGCTGATGGGAGCGGGTGGGAGGCGCGCCCTGGCTCCTGGAGCTTTCTGGGTGTGAAGCAGAGGCACGATGACGCTCTCCGCCACGTGCTCTGTTTTGCTCGTGGCCCCGGGGTACTTGCCCTTGCTTTTGCCAAATGTGGGAGTTGTGTGCCGAGAACCGACAAGTGTAGATAGCCCCTGAAATATACTAATCTGATCATTAAAAGAGTAAGGTGAGGATGGGACAGGTTGGGAGAGCCAAGTTTTATTTCACAATTACAAGAAGGGACACCTGGGGCAGCCCTGAGCAAAAATGAGTATTTTGCCATATAAATTTAGGAATTTTTTTTTTTAAAGAGATGCAGCAAATTTTGTTAGGTATTTTTTTTTTCTTTTTGACAGTTTCCTGAAAAGAATTTTCTTTATTATCAACAAGATGCTGACATCTTGTAGCTCATTATTTCCTTAAATTATTATGTAATATTACTAACTTAACATTATTTAAGTTGAAATCATTATTGGATTGCTCAGAATATTCCCTTCAGCTCATCTTTTTTGGCCAAGGATGCTCTCAGTATCAATGAACTACTCATTTTAATGGGGTTTACTCACATTTACAGGGCTGGTATGTATAGAAATTAGAAGAAAGTCTGATGGAAGAACTAGCTCAATAACTTTTAATATGTGAATAATATTTCGTATATATTTTCAAACTAAAATATATCAAAATAAAATTTATTTTATCTTTTTGTTGTTGTTGCTGTTCTTATTTGGAAATAACAGTGTCTGCTCATTGACAGGTTATACTCATTTTTCCCCGTGTTTGGACAGTCTGTGTTGAGGATGGTTTAAAAACCTGTACGACGGAACTCTTGAGTCTGCTCATCCAATTTCGTCCTCAGCCAGCTTTTCCTCCTGCCGAGAGCTGGGCTGAGTTCTCCCTCTGTGCCCTGCTCTCTGTTGAGCATCCTACACGCTGGGGGGCAGGCGCTGTGACATCCCTGTGGTTAACACCCAGATGCCATAGCCAGGGGTGAACAGCCCAACTCCAGGACACATGCACTGCTGTTACCTGAAGGACAGAGGAGTCATTTAAAATTTATAGTAGCCATATTAAAAAAGGAAAAAAAAAAAAAGGGAAAAAACCAGATGAAATAAATTTTATTTTAATATAGTTTATTTTGAAAATATATCTAAAGTATTACTCACATATTAAAATTGAGCTGTTTTACGTTCTTTGCTTTTCGCAGTCTTTGAAATCCTGTGTGTATTTCATGCTTTTCCCACTGCGCTATTCAGACCACACCTGTTTCAAGTGCTGGGCAAGCCGTGTCTGGACGGAGTCCCTGACTTCTCTCTGTGAGAGCCTGCCTGTGAAACAATGATAAGTGTTTCCATTCAAAAATTTATCAGCTGTCACTTTGCTTTAAGGTAGTCTATTAAACTCCAATCTTAATTTGAGTTCTGTCCTGACCCTTCTGTGGCGGTGAAGTCCTTCTGCTTCTCTGACGTTTCCTCAGCACAGGTGTTCGAAATGCCAGGTACCCAACAGCCAGTCTGTGCTCAAAAATGGCACGGTTCTCTCATCCGCTTCTCTGGGTTTCCTTTTCTTCCAGCCAAGATGATTTTTATATATGCAGATTTGGACATAATGATACAGTTTTTGATGGTGAAAATAGTGTTTATTTCAGAGGAAAGTGTAATCTGTGTATCGACCATTTGCAATACCAGTTCTTTTAAGACGTCATGGTTTTGAAATGTTTGCTCTGCTCATGGATGGTCTTTGCTTTTGCAGAATCTCATCTGCTCTGAGTGTGGGGATGAATTCACCCTGCAGAGCCAGCTGGCCATACACATGGAGGAGCACCGCCAGGAGCTGGCTGGGAGCCGGCTTCACGCCTGCAAGGCCTGTAGGAAAGAGTTCGAGACGTCCTCCCAGCTGAAGGAGCACATGAAGACTCACTATAAAATTAGGTATGAGCCTTTACTTGGGCTTGCCAAAAAAAGAAATCTATACAACATATTAAAAATGGGTATACTTTGCTATGATTGCTTAAAAATACTGTCTACTTTAGAAACAGCAACATGGCAGCTAATCTGGAGTGGTGTCAGGATAGCTTTTAAAACGTGTAGCCCTGTGTACGGTAAGAAAGAGAAGCTCAAAAATTTAAAGCAGTCATCAGGCTGCAGGAGTCGAAATTTTTAGCAAGTATTATCGTGTTAAAAGTTGTGGGACGGGGTAATGACAGAACGTTTTCATAGGTAAATAATGAGGTGTGTAGGGTAGATCCACAAGGGCCAAATCAGCACCCTTTATAACAAACAGATTTATTTATACTACCTGTTTAGAACTTCTGTGTTCCTGACGCTTGCGCTTAGTGTGCATTTAAACGTGTGTGAATAAAACCTAATCATTGCAAGCAGCCCTATCAGACCAGGAGACCTTACCTCCCCACTTTGTGGATGAGGAGCTCTAGATACAGGATGAGTTACTTTCCCACGGTTTTACAGCTCGGAGGCTTCGGGCATCAAGGATTTAAACCCTAATTGCCTGCTTTTCGAGCTCATACTATTAGCTTAGTCAGCAGGCTGACAGCCGTGCTTAGTTGTCACACTCGTGGAGTGAGCTTAGGAGTTACGTGTGTGTGTATGCTTCCTCGTAACAACGACAACCACTATAGCAGTGTCCACACCAGTTAATAAAGTGTGTAAACTGTGTGAAGACTTGGTCGGATTTGGTCACCCTCTGAGGCGCTGTGTTTTAGTGGCGTGGACACCCCACGGGGCCAGCGCCGCCTTACCCCTCCTACGCCCTCCACTTTGCCTGTTGTCCACTACTGGGGGCCCCGAGGATGCTGCATGTGCCCCATCACATTAGGTTTTTATTTGGATGAAGTTTTAACACAGGCAGGTTTGGTGTGTCTCCGAGGGTTTTGGGGAGATGACGAACGGTGCCCAGGCGGTCAGCATGCAGTCGGCCGCACCGGCTTCTGGCCCTTCTGGGATGGAGGGACGGGCCAGGCAGACAGCCTCGTCCTCGTGGAATGCTCGTTTATCAGGGAGATGAGTCAGTGTGACACTCTCAGATAGTGCTTGTGTGGAGAAGGGAAGAAACTGGATTGCGCTGGGGCAGTGCCAGGAAGGTGGGCAGCTTGGTGAGCGGGCTGTTGAGGCGGGCCACGCTGAGGAGGGTGTCTGAAATGAGGAGGGCCATGCGGGCCGGGAAGGGGAGAGCAGTTGCCACACCTCAGCTGCAGTGAGCTTTCTCTGCACTGGAAAGCAGAGAGGAGGCTGGCGCTTGGGAGCCCACTGTGGAGGGGAGCTTGCTGGCGCTGGGTATGAAGCAGGCGGGCCGCGGGGCTGAGGGCCTCAGGAGGCCATCCTGGGAATGAGGATTATATCCCAAGGGTAGTGGGAAGTCTGCCCCAACTTCCCCTGTGGGGTGGCTGTGGGGGGTGGTGTTGAGGAAGGGAGGCCGGTGAACCATCACAGCGGACGGTGGTGGTCTGACGACTGGAGAGTGGGGAGGCCTGGGCGTCTTTGGAGGTGTTTTGAGTGAAACCAGTAGCTTTTGAAGATGGACTTGAAGTCAGGGGCGAGAGGGAGAATCTGGAGCAACTCCTAAGGTTTAACCTTGCCCAACTGGGAGCTGCTGTTTCCTGGGTGGGGTAGCAGCAGGAGGGGGATGGGCAGAGTCCTGTCTGGTTCACACTAGCTCGCAGCCACCAGGGAGCCGAGCGCAGAGACGTCAGGCGGAGAGGGAGACGTCTAGGGTCGGTGTCAGGGGTGCTGGAGGGAGAACTTGGAGATCGTCAGCCTGTGGATGGTGTTGAGAGCAAGGAGACTGGAGGACGAAGCAGGACTTTGCAGTGTAGGGATCGTACCCACACACGTCTTTACGTCCGAGCACCACAGGTAGAGCTGTGTCCAGAAGGGGCATTCTCACCTCTCCCCTCCAAGAAAAGAAAGCAAAGTTTATCTTTTCATTAGATAGGGAAAAATGAGTTTTATGGTAATGAATACTACCAAACAACTGCGTGTCTGTGTGTACCTGTGTGTTTGTGGAGACACACACATGTGATGGATTTCTCGTTAAAGCATGTTCTGACCACCACTCATCCACACTTGCTGGTAGCATTTTAATTCTGAAATTGTCATACAGAGGAGACGACTTCATGAATATTTTCCCCCCGTGTTATACTAGGGTATCAAGTACAAGGTCTTATAACCGGAACATTGACAGGAGTGGATTCACATATTCATGCCCGCACTGTGGAAAGACATTTCAAAAGCCAAGTCAGTTAACTCGGCATATTAGGATACACACAGGTATGAGATACATTCACTTTTGGGCGATTTATGATATGGCTTAGAGGAAAGAACATGTGTGTTAGAGCTAGCTAGAACTGGATGGTAATGTTGGCTTTTCTGTCCTTTGCTCTGTGACCTTGGTCTTCACTTTGGGATTTTTGAGTAGTCGGTTGGATGCATGAGTCTACAGTACAGGGCGATGTTCTGTCTGGACAGATGGGTTTGGGGGTAATGTATTTCTCTTTTAATTCATTAGATGCTTACACATGTGGCATTATATTCTGATCATTTTTCTCCCTCTCTAGGTGAAAGGCCATTTAAGTGTAGTGAATGTGGGAAAGCTTTTAACCAGAAGGGGGCATTGCAGACTCACATGATTAAGCATACAGGTGAAAAACCCCATGCCTGTGCCTTCTGTCCTGCTGCCTTTTCTCAAAAAGGGAATCTCCAGTCCCACGTGCAGAGAGTTCACTCAGAGGTAAACATGGAACCTGGGTCCGTGTGGTGCTCATGGGGGTGTGGTAGATGGCTCTGGAGTTAATGAGTGAGCCTGAGAAATTCTTTTCTACTTTTAAAATGCAGGTTTAGAGTTTGTGCAGAGCAGACCTTGTTTTAAACAAGCAAGCAAGCAAATATATGTATCTCTATATGGACACCCTATTGACTTACATATGGGAGAAATATAAAATATTATCTTTCTGTGGTCTTATGGACGCTATTATAGCTTTGATGAATAAATGTTTGAAGATAATCATAATACCTTTGTTAGTTACAGTCCATCGATGTGATTGTTAACATTCCATCCCTTTAGCAAACTTGAAACGCAGACACTGTCAAGTCTAAGAACTTGAAAGACAAGAAATAAATTGAGAGGAAAAAAGTATTTTTCCTATTACTGTCATTATTGCTAAACTCACCCATGGCCTCATTCACGTTCTTTATCAGCCAGAGCCCTGGTCTGTGTATTTCCCTCCACGTGAACTATTTCAGTGAGACTGTTGTTCACCATTTCTTGTTGTCTGCAGATCATTCTGATTTGTAAAACGTTTGGAATCATTTCTCTTAAGCAGGTTAACCTTTGCTCTTTCCTGATTTGGTGTTTGATTTATAGTCTAATTGTAGAATATAAATTAATGTTTAAGTGACACACTTTTATCACAGATCATTTTATTTTATGTAACTGTTTTGCAGAATGAAGACTCATATTCTTAAAAGCAAATGTGTATCTTTTTATTTTTTCCTTGATGCCTTGAGTATCACTGAAATAAAAAAACCCTCCACCCTTCACATAGTTTATAAACATATTCAGCCTTCCATATGCGAGTTACTTGTTAAAACTAAGTTTTATATTCTAAGACCCAGACACCTGAGGAGGAACACATAAATATTAGTGAGGCAGTGATGATGTGGAGTGAGGTTTCCTTTAGATCTCAGAAGAGTAGAAGTGACCTGTTCCAGTTATTCTGTGGGAGCTGCCTCTGTGTGCGGACGATTGCTTCGGGATGGCTGCTTACTCGCGTGGCACCCAGAGAGACCTCATGCCCCCCCACCCCCCCACCCCCGGCAGCCCGCTGAGATGCCCGCCGGTGCTCCTGAGGTCACGAAACCCCTCTGGGAGGGTGGGGGCTTGCCCGGCTCCCAGACTGAGAGCCCCTGGGACCTGTGGTGGGGCAGATGGCCGTGTTCCAGAAATGACCTCTAAGGGTTGGTTTGTAAATATTATCCAGTCCTGTGATGAACCTTAAATTTAGTTCTTAACAAGGTGCTAGAAATGGAACAGAATATCCATGTGTAGAGAAGGCTGGTCCGTTTTCAACCAGCCTTCGTAATTACAAGAATAAGTACCGCTGGGCTTGAATAATAGCGAAGGAATAGTTGAGACGCTTTCTGTGTACCCAGAGGTTCTGCTTCATTTCCCTCCTCTCTAGGGTCCCCTGTTGGCTTTATCATAGTTGTCCAAAGTAGTTGCTGATAAGGGAGTATTGGGATTGGTGATGGAAGCTTACGCAGTGCGCAGCCCTCCTTCCCAGCACGTATATCGTAACGCACCAAAGGCTTAGTTAGAGTGTTGCTCACACCTGTGTTACACTGTGCGTAACCACTGAAGACACTGAGAGTGTAAGTCAGGTATCTTATTTTCACCAAATTACAATAACTGGAAACTATGTCTTCTCACTTCCGAATCTGTTCTAATTTATAGAAAAGACTATGAAATTTCAATTAATTTCACACTGGCAAGGTTGATGCAAGAGTTGGGTCATTGATTTTAGAACTATCCAGTTTGAAAGAAAAAGTAATGTTAAATGGTTAGATTGTTTCTGCCATTTTTAATGGAATGGTAAATTACGATTTGCTATAATTTAAATATTTTTGTCTAACAGTTAATTGTAAAAAATAGTTTTTTCTCTTTTGTTCTTTAAGGTCAAGAATGGCCCTACCTATAATTGTACAGAATGTAGTTGTGTATTTAAAAGTCTAGGTAGCTTGAACACTCATATCAGCAAGATGCACATGGGCGGACCACAGAATCCAGCAAGCTCCACAGAGACCGCTCACGTTTTAACGGTGAGTCTAGCAGGCTGCTTGATAGGGGGTAACCTTTTACCAAAATTGGTCATCTTAATTGTGACCTTTAAAATGGAATATTATTTAGAATATTATTTAGTACCACAAAGGTGCTATGAAAGTTTTCTATAAGGAGATAAGGGTACTTTCTTATTTTTTTAATTAGTGAAAGAAAATCAATATTTTTAAACTTCAGAATAGTATCAGATGATCCTGATTTAAGAACTGTCACCTGAACCGATGAAAAGCACGCAAAATGCAATCATTAATTTATGAAATGGTCATCTTACAGTGCTATTGATGATTACTATTGACTATTCTTTATCCCTGTGTGATGACTTACGAATCAGTTAACCATCGTAAAATAATATTTCTCCACGTCTGATGGGACAGTGGTAATTTTTTCCTGAGGATGTGGCCTTCTGTGGAACTAAATTGTGTAAAATTGGACGACACTCACTCCCACACTCGTGTCGGGTTCTGGTGGGAGTCTTGAGCCCCGCCTAGATCTGTTACCTCTTCCCCCTCGCAGCTGGTAGGGAGTGGCCGAGCGTGAGCGCGGGGCAGCGCACCATGTGTTGAGCGCGCACTCGTGAGCTGGCCTGGTGGTGCTTTGTGCTGTCAGCATCTGCCTGCACCGGCGTGGAAACTCGTTAGTGTTTGGTTCCCGAGCTTTATGTTCGCATTTACGGTTTGTGTTTTGTTCTCTTTTCTCAAAATACTGGCAGCTCAGGATGGTTCCTCACCTAACTCCTGATCAGGAATCCCCGTGCATTAGGCCGGCCCTGTGTTGTGCGTCCTGGGTCCACCTTCACGCATCACACAGAACGCTGCGTCTGACCTCCACTGTCTGCCACGTGGCGTTTCAGGCTCCTGCGTGTCTGGACAATCAGAGTGCTCTCTCCTTGGATGTTCTTGGCTCTGGCTTTCCCGAGCATTTATGCTCCAGTGCCCCTCTTTTCCAGAAATTTCCTGAATTATCTTGGCCACAGTGGTTTCTCTCTTATTTTCTTTATTTTGTAACGCTTTTGTTTCTGTGTTTTACTGGACAGGTGGGAAGGTGAGGCCTGCGAGCCTACACCCCCACCTTGAGCTGATCACTCAGGAAATCTTTGGAACGTGTAGTGGGACCATTCGTTAAGTATGTTCCTTTAAGAGCCCATATTGTGCCTAATGTAAAAATCAGTGAGGCGTTTTATTTAAAATTTGTGTTTGGGATATTGTTAGATTTTAATGCTCCTAAGGATGATGTGCCTATTCCTTTCCTTTTTTTTTTTCTTTTAAATTGAAGTACAAATTAACGTACTTCTTACATTTTCAATGACAATGCTGCTGCGTTTCAGGCCACGCTGTTTCAGACGTTACCTCTCCAGCCGACGGAAGTCCATGTCACGTCTGCGTCGAGCCAGCAGAATTCCCAGGCCGTGACCGACGTCATCCAGCAGCTGCTGGAGCTCTCAGAGCCGGGGCCGGCGGAGTCCAGCCAGCCCGCACAGCCTGGCCAGCAGCTCAGCATCACCGTGGGCATCAACCAGGACATTTTGCAGGTGAGGCGCACCTTCTTGCTCTCATCTGTGCTTGTCCGAGACCGGGTACCGTTACTGAAAAATAAATAGGCAGGGCTTGTCCAAATAAAGGAATCATAATTAAATATTCATCCTAATTGAAAACATTCTGTTGGAACAAAATATGCTTATGGGCAGTGCAGAATTCTAAATGATTAATCTATAATTTTTTTTTTTAAATGTTTTATTTATTTATTCATGAGAGTCAGAGAGAGAGAGAGAGAGAGAGGCAGAGGCAGAGGGAGAAGCAGGCTCCCCACCTAGCAGGGAGCCCGATGCGGGACTCGATCCAGGACCCTGGGATCATGACCTGAGCCGAAGGCAGACGCCTAACCATCTGAGCCACCCAGGCGCCCCCGATTAATCTATAAATTTAAAAAAAGGTTTAAAACTTAATTTTCTCTCTAAGTGATTTACTTGAGAATAGGCCTTTCAGAACTTTCTTATATCTCCTGTAACTATTGGAGAAAGTGAAGCCACCTCTCTTAGCAGCGTTTGAATGGGCCACACCCCTGTGGGAGAGGAGGAGAAGAAAATGGGGCAGAGCACGCTTTTCTGATTTTTCTACGCCAGTCCAGCTTTAGCCTCAGATCTTTCATTTACAAACAGATCTGGCCTGCCTTCTCCTCCTGATTTAGTGACCAGGTGTAAAAACTAACCTGTCACCTACCTGTACCTTTGGGGTGACCAGTTGGTGTAAAGAATCTCGGGGTGCATGACAGCTGAGGTCTTAAGGGTGAACCCACTGTAACTTAACACAGTGATTCCCAGATTGTTTAGAGATAACCAGAGAGGTCTCAGGTAAAATTTCTGAACGTCAAATTAATTAATTCCAAGTCCTTTTAATTTACCATACTGTATTTTGGGTGGAGGTGAGCTGTCAGTTTTCAGAAGGGACATTTCAACTTCAAAGAGTTAGAAGTCTAGCTTGTAAATGATGGTTGGCAGTGCAGATTTTTATAGCTAGTAGGGCAGAATTAGGGTTCTGTGGGCAAAGCCTTATTGCATCTCTGTAATTGATTTTGGCAGGCAGATTTGGGCCTCCCACCTCCTAACCTGTTAGTTCTGTTCTGTCTCAGCAAGCCTTAGAAAACAGTGGGCTGTCTTCAATTCCAGCTGCAGCACACGCTCACGACACCAGCCATGCCAGGACGCCCTCGGTGCAGGTTCAGAATCCGGATGCTCCTCACGCTTCGAGTGAGCAGACCCACTCCACAGAGGCAGAGCAGGAAAAAGATCAAGAAAGCCCAGAGAAGTTGGATAAAAAAGAAAAAAAAATTATAAAGAAGAAATCACCATTTCTACCTGGTAATTTTAATATGCTTTAAGGTTTACACGTTTTGGAGGGCATATTGCTTATTTTTTCTTTTGAGGGCGAGATGTTTGTTGAATGTTCTAATAGTATCAACCTATTTGATATTTAAAAACCTCGACCATCGTACACTTTGGGCTGCCTTTCTCCCTATGGTCGGTGTCTCCTGACAGTCCCCCGGGCTCATCCCTGGGTCGTTCTGGCCATTTTTGTCCCTTCCTTCGCCACTGCACTGCCGTCTCCTGACGTAAGGGAGGCTGGGCTCCCACGGTGTCCGAACAGGCATGCATCTCAAGGACCATCCTTCCCACAGGCTTTCTGTGCCAGAGCATCTTCCTTCTCCCCTTGTCTCCCCCTGTCTCGGAGAGCTCCTGTGGTCATAGAACAAGGGCAGCACCTGGAGGAGACTCTGGGCCCTGCCCTTCCTCTTCTCGGTGCTCGCTGCACTTGGAATGTTTCTGACCCTACAGTCCCTCGTGTGCACCGTTTATGGCCCACTACATTCTCTTCGTCTCTGAATACCCCATGGGCCTCTTGCACGGGGCCAGGCACCACTACATCTTTCCCGAATGAAATCAGTTTCTGTGTTTTGGGCAAGAGCGTTTCTCTAGAAATGTTTTCTTAGGGACTGACTATTCTGCTTCTCCCAGGTGTCCTGGGGAGCGAATGCTTTCTTGCTGCAAAGCATGGAATGATGACCATTCTCATCTCTGTGAACACTTCTTCTGAGCATGTCTCTTCCCAGTGTCAACATGTGGTTGTGAGATGCTTGTTTCTGCCCACAGAACATGGCAGTTCTACTCCCGTTTTCCCCTTGATCTCCCCCCTCATCCCCGAGTGAAACACGGGATGATGGAATCAAAGCAGTTTATCATCTGGGGATTCCTGGTGTCCAGAGAGGAAAGAAGGGGAAAAGCATCCTTTCCACATGTTTTTATTCACGATATGAAGCCTTCTAGGGTTAGGGTTAGGGTTAGGGGCTAGGGATTAGGGGATAGGGTTAGGGTTAGGGGTTAGGTTAGGGTTAGGCACGCTCCATCCTGGTCCGCTGCACTTTGTCTTGTGCCCTGAGCATAGATGGTGGTTTCAGAACGCGGTTACCGTTAACGTACCCATGATTTTAATATGGAATATTCTGATTTTAGAGTTTGCAGAGGTTATGTCAGTTTATTTTTGAAATGCCTGAAGAAATTAAATACATGCACAGACTACTGAGCAAGTTTATGCAATTCTAGTGAATTTTAGATCAAATGTGATCCTCAGTACAAGTTGAGAGCCAGCATTTTTTTTTTCTTAGTCGTCCCTCGCTTGTCATGATAGAATTACTGGGGATGCGTTTCTGTAGTAAGATATTTCTTCTGATTAAAGCTTTTCAGGGAGCAGGACACGTTTAATGTAGTGACGGTTTCTGGAACTATCTGTGCAAGGGGAGTTGAGGACCGTTTGGCGCCCTGAGGAGACTGTGAACATAAGCTCTTCTTAGCAGCTTTGAATTCACCTTGATTTCATGCCCCAAGTTGCACACACTCTCCCATTTAAGCTGTCACTATTCGGCTTCCTTAGTTTAGTGAGAAGGTTTTAGTCGAATTTGTTTTGTTATTTTAAGAGATATTTTGTGTATTGATTCAAAATTTAACAAATGCTTTTATATTTATCGTATAGCTTGTGACATATAAATCATTATTAAAACTTCACGAAGTTTGAAATTTATTGCGGTAAAATATTGGCTCTCTAGAAATCACAAGGAAAAGTGTTTTGGAAAGCTGGTGACTTACTCCTTAAAGGATGACAATGGCATACCTATTCTGTGTGGAACTCTTTCTTAAGGCCACAGAGATTTTACCTTTTTAGGCCAGAGTATGACTGGGAAAACGTAGCCCAAACTTGACTCCTGTTCTGTGCAGTGATAGGCCGGCATCCTCGTGGCCTGCTGCCCTGCATGGGCTCCAGGGTGCCGTCCATGGGCTCTGGGTCATCGGCCTTGGAAGCGGTGTTGATTACCCCTTGAGTGTTGGCTCTAGGTCTCTGTACCAGCTCTCCTCCTGCTTTCTTATCTGCTGCTGGTGACCTGTAAGTGCCTGGGGCTCTGATAAATCATGACCTTAATCGCTGCAAGAGAATTAAGTATAAAGTCATTCTTGGTAAGGACCTTTGCAACCCTTGTACTTTTTCTAAAAATGAAGTGCAGGAACAGGTTTGGACTTTTATACCTACTTTGAATAATTCAAGAGACTGATATTTTCTTTCCATTTTTGCTTTTCTTTCTCTTTGGAGGGTCTATATTGTGAATAAAGGTTTCTGTATTCATAGTTCAGGTAAATTACTTGTTATTTTGTATTATTTCATGCTTTTATATAATACAGTATAGAAAACTTTAAAAAGACACATATTCATTTGGGCATCATTGGATTAAGTTTGAAAATTCCATAATTTATCTCATTTGTGTACAATTCTTTGATAGAATTTATGAGGTTTTCTTTTGAATTGTCATTAATAATTAAATATAAATATTATTTTTACTTAAGGCCTTTAATTTTTTTTAGTGGTAGTCTGGTTTGGAGCTGAGTATGCATTAGTAGTAAATATAACACACTGCGTATGAAGTATTAGGAAGGACAGCTAGCTCCAAGGTGTTTATGGTGCGGCACAGGGTCAGTGCGTGGGCAACGCACAGCAGAGACAAGGGTGAGAGGCCACAGAGGCGTATTGTGAGTTAAAGATGTGCCTTGAGTTTGAGATAGGAGAAGTCGGTGGGCCACAGTGAGAAAGTAAGAGCTTCCCTGAGTTGGAGGGACAAGAACCAAGTACTCATGGGAATGGAGGGAAGCACATGAGTGCTGAGTGAGAGTCCCATGAGGCAGGAGAGCATTCTGATCCAAGGATCATTGTAACAATTTCATTTTGTGTGTTTTTCTATATTAACAATTATTTAAGAAATTCCTAGCATTAAATTCCGTTGATATATAACTAACATTTTATGCAAATCGAACGTTTAGATAAGGGTATATTTGGTTGTAGTCACGCACATAGAAAACACCACCCAAGGTTACAAGAGCACAACTGAAGGATCCCCTGTAACACCTCTGAGACTTCAGGAGGGGCCTGAAAGGTCATTTACTGTCTCCACACAGATCCTGTCTTTTTCTTACTGATTTGTTGAAGTTCTGTATATAGTCTAGATCTTATTTCTTTGTCATTTATGTGTTTCAAATACCTTTTCCAGAAATAGCTTCTCTTTTCACTCTCGTTAAGATGTCTTTTGATGAATAGATGAATAGAAATTTTTACTTTTAATGCAGTTGTCTTGATGGTATAGCTGTTTTGTATGAAAATCTTTCTAAAGGTCAGAAGGATTTTATCTTCTTAGACCAGAGCATGTTCTTCATGACTTAGCCTTTTCTTGATGATTTAGAATCATCATTATGAATTTCATTATTGTTCTGTGCTGTGGTTGCCTTTCTGTTCTATTTCTTCAGTCTTTCTATTTATAGTTTGTGTGTTCTGTGTTTCATGTAAGAAATTTCTCCTTACCTACATTGAATTCTCCTGCATTTGTTTTGTTTTAACTAAGTGATAGGACTTGAACTCACGACCCTGAGATCAAGACCTGAGCTGAGATCAAGAGTCGGACGCTTAACCGACTGAGCCATCCAGGCGCCCCTGAATTCTCCCATGTGTTCTAACAAAAGTATTAGAACTTTGCCTTTCACATTTAATTCATTAATTTATTTGGACTTTATTTTTACATCTAAGAGGTGGGATTGAAATCTTATTTATTCCTGTGTGGTAACTAGTTGTCTGGCACCATGTATTGGAAAATCTGTCTCTTCTCTGATATGTGATACCAGGTTTGTTAGAGATCTGGTTTCCGTCTCTGTGTGTGTCTAAGCTCTGGGTTTTCAGTTGTGCCCCACTCTTCTGTTTGTCTATGGGGAGATCGATATGCTGTCTCCATTATTTAATATAGCTCTTAAAATCTGTAGGGTGGGTCTTTATTTTTCATTCTCTTTTGTATTATCTTGGTCTTCGGTTTGACAAAATTGGTATCTTTAAAATACAGTGTTTTTTATGTCCCTGAACGTATTTCTCTTCCTCTTGGTGTCTTTTTTACATAAAGCTCTTGCAAGTCTTCTCAGATTTATTCTTTCACCTTATCCTTTTGTCATTGTAAACTATTTTTATGTTGCAGTTTTTGTTATAGGTATATAGAAAGATAATTGGCTTTTGTATATTGATTATGAATCCAGCAACCAATTAACTTCTGTTGTTAATTGTAGCACTTTGTCGGGAGATTGTGTTGGGTTTTCCATGCAGATAGTATATTGTGTATAAATAATGGCAGTTTTCCTCTTCTTGGTACATTGGCTTGGGCTGACGCCACAGTGTTGTGTAGAGGTATGGAGAGTGGTCCACTTCCATCTTCACTTTGAACGGGGGATGGTTTTAATGTTTCATAGTTGAATTTGGCTTTTTACTCTTGGCTTTTCATGGAACCTCTCAGATTTGGGAGGCTGCCTTCCATTGTTGGTTTACCAAGGAGGCTTTTTGTTTTCTTCCTTATGTTGAATATTATCAAATGCCTTTCCTTTCTCTTTTGTTATGATCATATGTTTTTCTATTTTAATCTCTGAGGTGGTAAATCACAGTAATTGATTGGAAGCAAACCATGTCTTCCATCTGGGCCTCCAAGTTACTCTAGTTTCTCTCTCTTTCCCTTCCCTCTCCCTCTTCTTTTCCTGTATTTTTTCTTTATGACACATTTTTGAATTTGCTTGGCCAATATTCTTTTTTTCAATTTCACTTAATAAAATACACTTTTTTATTAAAAAATGGATAACACCAGTACTTACTTTTAAATCAGTTAAATTTTAAAACCATTCTGTTTTATAGAATGTATACTGGTGTTAAGACAGTTTGAAGAAATGCTATCTAGAAAACATTACTTTTGGTTATTGTATTCCCCTCGTACTTCTACAGCATTTTTATATGCAACAAT